TTCTTCCCCACCCACATAGACTTGTCCGGCTCAAATAGTTGACAACCCATGAGAAGCTGACATAAGGGCACTGGAGATTTGGAATCAGAATGATAAAATTGATAATTATAAATGTCTACAGTCCACCAGCAAGCAACACAAAGGAGGAGTTGGACAACAAATGAGAGGGCCTCATAATGATCATGAGAGACATTACAACAAATGCAGATACTGTAAAGGTAAATCACTACTGTTGGTACTTAGTGACTTCCAACTTTAAATCAATATAGACTGGGACGACTATGAAGCAAAACTGAAGGACATTCGGACAAATACAGTACGGTATGTTCACTTTTAGACTTTCTAGGTAAGAATTACAGCTTATCTGGAGGTCTTGCTTATCTAGAGAGGGGGGGGGCCAGGCAATGAGTGTAAGGCACCCTCATAATGACCACTAGAGGAAAGATACACACATAAGACTCCAACAACCCAGCCACCTGCTCGCCATGCAAACGGTGATAGATATGCCTCAAAAAATCCAGACAAATAGAACAGAGAAGGCTGAACCAGCAAAATACATCGTTGAGCCGATTTGCGGAAATAGGCAGAGCAGCAGGAAAACGCCCAGGTTTAGCCACCGGGCGAAAAGACCGGAACCAAGACTAGGTTGGCTTGGAACATTCTGGCACAAAGAAGCCAGAATGATCACCCTCCCAGTGGAGGACTCCAGACTTGACAGAACCCAGAGCAACAACTGAACCAGGAGATAAAGGCAAATGCATCATCACCTTGACCAGTCTAGTCAAAGAGCATCCACTGTGAAAGCATCACAATTGGGAATTGGAGCTATGTAGGAGGGAAGATGCTCATTCCACACTAAATTGGAAGAGGTCCAACTCGGAGTGACCAAACATCTTGCAGTCAACAAAAGGACACACCACTAATGGTCCATGGAGTGGATTGTCAAAATGGGATGGAAGCAAGACAACCTGTATGTGAGAACGTTGATATACACCCACTTGAACTGTATAGAGAACCAAACCCTGCGAATCCAAAAGCCAAACAACTCGAAACATCAAGCTCCATACGGCGATGTACAGAAGCAGCCAACCTCGGTTCAGGCAATAAACCACTGGGGAGCAGTCAGAGTGGAGATGGAGTATGGAGCCCAGAGAAAAGTTGAATCCTCCACAGGGCAGGCCACACAGCTACAAACTTGTGTACCATACTGTTCACCCAAAGGAATGTACCCATCAACCCTGGGCGGCCTGGTGAATACTGGTCACAAAGCCCTGACTGAGCCGAGTAATCAGTGAACACATTGACAGTGAAGGTTGGTACCATGGAATCAAACTGCAATAAGCCCAAAGAGGAAGCCAGCAATGCAAGAGCCACCAGAGAGGGTGGGACCCACACCCATCAATCCTGCGAGCGGTGAAACTGGCAAAAACCAAAGACATTGTACTAATGCCCTGAGCCAAATCTTGCCGAGTGGAAACACCATGCAACCAAAGTTCCAGCTCTTTTGCAACCACTTGACCAACCAGCAGTCACCCAGGGCTGCCACAACACCAGAAAGCAGCAACACAGCAGCTGGAGCAAAGTAGCACGAGGAAGGGAAAGTGACAAAGACCGAGAGTCCAATATGAAGCCCAGCCAATTCCAAACCTGTGACGGAACAAACTGGGACTTCTGCCAGTTCACCAAAAATCCAAACTACAATACACTGGGTGCCAGATTCAAGCCAAAGTAAAGAACCTTGAAGTGGTAAGCCTGAACAAAAAGCCTTACCAGTTCCTGAACCTGGAATGTTTAGGGACATGCCAATGTGTGTCCTGGATGTCCAGGGACAACATGCAAGAATCAGCCACAAGTAGCAGGTGAACTTGGGCCCAAGTGGTCATGCAGAAGGTTGGACAAGGCATTAAGTTGTTTAATTCTGAAAGATCAAGGATGCGATACAGATCTGCAGAGTCCTGCTTCAGGACCAGGAACAACTAGGTCACCAACTGAAAGGACGGGGTTATTTTAACCATGCCCAAGTCCAGCCAACCTGCAATGACCTGATGTAGCACCAGAGAAACTTTGACCCATAAGCCTTCCCCAAGAACAGGAAAGGGACCAAACACCACCATACAAGCGAGAGGCCCCCCTTACAAGAGTATCTAAGGAGTGAACCACAACATGGCACTGGCACAAATGGAAGCATCCTTCTGCAATGTGTAGTTACTGTACAATGACAAGCAGAAAAAGAACTTGCATCAGGAAGTCTAATGGTCCAAAAATTGGATGTACCATGGGCCTACCTTGCCCAACTGAAGGCGAGGCCCCAAAGCCTGCTTTTGAGCAGAGGCACAAATACCAAGAAAACAATAGATTGTCGATAGGATTGCAGGAAAAGGCCACGGCAGACAAAACCAGGGTGATGGCATCCTCAGGAAAGAGGAGTGGTGAAAAAAGACAGACAGACAAAAGGGTAAGTAACCAAGCTGAATTTAACGACAGGACCAACATGACTTGTCGACACATCAGGCAGGTCAAGTAAAATGCCAACACCACCTCCTAATAAGGGTGAGCCAACACCCTCCTAATAAGGGTGAGCCAACACCCTCCTAATAAGGGTGAGCCAACACCCTCCTAATAAGGGTGAGCCAACACCCTCCTAATAAGGGTGAGCCAACACCCTCCTAATAAGGGTGAGCCAACACCCTCCTAATAAGGGTGAGCCAACACCCTCCTAATAAGGGTGAGCCAACACCCTCCTAATAAGGGTGAGCCAACACCCTCCTAATAAGGGTGAGCCAACACCCTCCTAATAAGGGTGATGACCTAGCCCATTCTGGGCAAGGTCATCAAGGATGGAACTGCAGGCCTCAAGGTCTCCACACATGAGAAAATACAAGCAATGCTACATCCTCATGGAGTTTCTCAGAGAGCCCCTCCAGGACCCCCACACAAAACCACCATCAAGTGTGAGAGTTCTGTGGTCATCTTCAATAAGAGCCCCAGACAGCACAGGCAAGGGAACGTGAAGCTGCCACTTGTTTGCTGGAGCAAACAGGCAGTTCCCGAGCAGAGCAAAAGAATTGCTGCCATGAATACATGAAAGACAGAACTCGTCTTTCAAGCAAGCATGCGAGATTGACAGAACCCTCGCCAAGCACCCCCCTCCCCCCAAGGAAAAAGGGAAAAAGTGAGAGTTGTCAGCCATCCAGGATGAATTCAAAACCTCACACCAAAGCCAATAATAAAAAAAAAGGCCAGGACCCAGGACCATCGACAAAGGAGGTCCCAAAACAAGTCTGTGCAAACCACCAAAGGCAAAATGCAGTAAGAGTGAAACCTCTGGTAATATGACTGTTCTGGGGCACTGAATGGTACACATAGCCAAATGTGAAGGAGAGCAGCCAAGTGATCATACAGTCCACACACAACCTACAACTTATGTGAAAAATCTTCAATGATTTCTGATCATGAAAGAGATCTAGGGGTAGTTTTGGATCAAAATAACTGTCACCTGAGGACCCCATAAAGAACATTGTACAAAGAGCATATGCAACTCTTTCCAACTTTAAAATCAAGCATCGTATGACAGTATAGTACATGAAAGAGTGGGATACCAGAAGTACAGATCTCATCCTGTAACTACACTTAAGTACTTATAATTATTTATGTATATTTTTTTTTCCTTTTTTTTTCCTTTTAAATCATCTCTCCTGCCTTTATTTATTCCAAGTACATTAAATATGCAATTACTCAATACCACATCCATTCCAGTCCAAAGTAATCTCCACAATGGTTTCACCTGGTTTTTGTGCATCCCCAAACAGGAGTGTTGGCTGGTAGTATACCAAGAACAGTAGTATCCCAGGAAGGAGTGGAGTTGGGTTGTCTTGCAGCCCCAAAAAAATTACTATTCTCTGGAAACCAGATACTCTGCTAACACACAAAAAGTAAGTGATTTATCAAAGATTAAAAAACTTGAGATACAGAGTTGCCACCTCAGTTCCATCTCGGCTGGTGTAATAATGACGTCACCAAGAGAAAGTGAGCCCGAGATGTAAATACCTTATTAGATAAGGCGCTGAAGATCTAAAAATAAGAAATGCTACAATACACGTGTAATTTTCCTAGAAGTAACTTTGTAAGATGAAGAAATCCACAAGGGCCGTGACGAGGATTCGAACCTGCGTCTGGGAGCATCCCAGACACTGCCTTAATCGACTGAGCTACGACAGGGTAAAAAAAAAAAAAAAAAAAAAAAAAAAAGAGTTGAAACTGAAGTTCTGCTGAACTTACTGGCTCCCGCAGCCTCTGGGGGTGTCTGGGATGCTCCCGGACGCAGGTTCAAATCCACGCCATGGCCCTTGTGGATTTGTTCATTTGATGCATCATGTTAGTGTGATTTCTGTGTGTAACTTTGTAAGCCCTAATGGTTATGATACTGCTACAGCAACCACAGCACATACACTACATCAACTTGAAGCAAAGAATATGCGACTTGTTAATACAGTGGCACTAATAGAGGGGTAAAAAGAAACCTTACAAGGAATCCCATTACTCTACAGTATACAAGATTCATAACAGACTTCCATACAAATTATTAAGTATCTAAAAATTCATAAAATCTATCAGGTATGCACGTCTGCTCCTTCAGCAATCTTTCAATACGAAGTACTAAGATGATAAATTATTACAATCAAATACAAAAATACATACTGGTACCTAAGACAACAAAACTTGATGTCAACATTTGTTTATGTAAATATAAACCACAATCAGTAATTATTAACACATTTACATAGCAAATAATAATGAAAAATAAAGAAATTAAGTAAATCTGGTGACCAAACTGCTAAATTTCCCAATCACAATACTGTATATTAATGCTATTCAGCTGAATGTCACATTTTGTATTTTCAAAAGAAAACTTTACAGTAGCTATTCTGATCAAATATGCCTTAGCACATTAAAAAATATTCCAACTTATCTGCTTTACAAGGAAGGATAAAATTAAAATCTAAGTTAGGTTCATTTATTAATAGGTATCAATTAGTTTCCATATGTGAGACTATAAAATGCATTGAATAGAATGCCATGGCACAGTGAAACTCACCAAGGAGTCCACTGCAATCACTTGATAGTTCCGTATGCTAGACATTATCATCTAAAGCTACAACACCAACATCTGAAGCTATCGGGACACTGAGGCACCAACCAGCACATACGCACAGTACTAAAACATTGCCTCAGCAATCACAAGGAATGATAAGGACATACTGTATATAAAGTCCATCAAATCAATAAACTGTTTAACAGTAATAACAAAACTTAAATACCTACGAAAACCGAACACTTTTATACTAGCAAGTCATAAGAATATTACAATTTACTACAGTCATTACCTTGTAAAACTTATTTAAACTGAGTTCCTTTGAGCAATAGATTTCATAGTAAATAAAATTAAAAGCAAGTTTAAAGCTTCCAAGCAGTGTTTCACACTTTTTAACCCAACAATGATCTACTTAATTTTAAAAATAATATTTTGACCTAGTGCACTTACCAATGTAAACATTACTGTCAGTGTCATCAGTGCCCTGACACCCTTCTAACCTTGCATTAAATTTGCCAGTACATATATGAAGATACAGGGGATTACAAACGTTTAAAATGGAAAGATGAGGACTAGAGACTGACAACGGACAATAAATGTGACTTACTGGCAAGGCTAAATCTGTCAAGATTTCAGTAGCATTTATTACCTTACAACTTAACACATGGAATACTTTGAGAGAAACTGCAGAGTTTTAACCTTGCCAGTCAAGACACAACCACGCATTCAAGCTATCTGAACCCTAATCCTCTATGATAACGGGCATTGTTAAAAATCGTATTACATCAAATAGACAATGGCTATTTGTTTTGTACGCAGCAAACCCAGATACTGTTTATTGTTAGACACTAAGATAGATTTACTTGGAAATTATTAGGATATGCAAGTGAGAAAGATATACTTAAAAATTTCAGCAAACACTGTATCAATTTTTGTTTTGTTTTATATTTCACAAAGTTTAATAATTTGCGAGTTTTACTCAAGCTTAACACTAAAATTTCATATTTATCAAAAAACAATTTTGAAATTGCAATTTACCTTCTCCATTGCATATCCTATGTTACAACAAGGAAAATTATTTAAAATTTGCACTTCTGAAAATATACACTATAATTGATAGTAAAACACAAACTATATTCATATAAAATTCTTAACATAAAATCAAAGTACACAAGCTATAAAAATAGACACAAATACTTCAGTTTATCTAAATGGAGTTACAAAAAATCTTTACTGAAATTCTGATCATGAATGACGCACAATTAAAAAAAAAATTAAGGTCAACACTGGCAATGTATTTTGACATTCTCAAGTCGCTGGATAAATATCCAGGTCATGAATGATCAATGACTTACATTCTTCTAGATAACTGAAGTATGGGTGTAATATGCTGTTTTATAACCCAAATATGAAAACAAAATGTAATGGTAGTAAATTTGAAACATGCATGGCAAATGTTAACAGTTGCACTGAAACTATAAAGACATTAATCCCTCTACCCAAGAGAATACCTGGACTTTATAGAGCCAGTGTATGTTATAGAATTGCCAGTGATGGCATGTCCTTATCAAGAAACATCACAACATGTTCTAAACAGTAAACATTTTGCATGGCTATTAATCATCAAGAATGAATTTATCACCGATGCAGTTTAAAACTGCTGGTAAAATGATTAACTTGTTTACAAAGACATCCCCAGACTACAAAGTACCTGCGTTGAAATTGTAGCCGAGTTGTACAAGTTGTCATGGCAAAAAATTACAAAAACTATGGTATCTTCACCTGAATATTGCAAGAACCCCTGACAGAAAAGTTGCTGTATATAATAATACATGACCCTGAATGTTAAAAACCTGCAGGATATATTCACATTTGGTTTGACAGACACCTCCCATAATGACCTCATAAGATCCAAGACAACTCTGTAAATTATTTCTGCAATAATGATCATTCTAATGATTCTCATGGCTACATGACTGACAATGACATCTGCCACTGTCCTGATGGTTGGTTCTAATTACTAAAATCTTCAGAATCCATACCTTATTAACAACATGGGAAGTTTGCCATTATCTATGCTAACCTGAGAAGACATTGAATATATCACAGAATTTGATCAGCAGATACTCTAAATTCAATCCCTGACTTTGATTATGTGGAGGACCTTAAAATGTCTTGGAAGGGGTCACACAAGCCACCAGAAGAAACCACATGAGGTAGATGCACCCAAGAAATTGGCTCAAGAGACCAGAGTGATCATAATTTATTCTAAGGACTTTCCTAACCCAAAATTAATGTTGAAATAATATAGGTAACTGATCCTGAATGTCTAATTCCACTGTAGGAATGCAAGACGAACAACACCGGAAGCGCTAGGCACGCCAGCTGGACCCTGTTATAGTGACCTTGTATGTAGTACCCGTTTATTGTGTAGCCCTGGATATGTATCATGGGTATGGATATGATGGACATTATTAAAATGCATATATGTCTGTGAGAACAGATACAGTGTGCTACAGAATCCACTCCAATCAGGTTTCCTGTCCAGAATTTTGGCTAGGACTTACAGTTCAACTCATTATGGTTGAACCAAAATGCCCTAATACAACTATAAATTATGACCAATTTTATCAATGATGTAATGTTACCAAACTGTCTATCAAACTACATTCTGACTACCCTTTCCTACTAAACTGAGAAGTATATGATGACCCAACTTCACATACCCTTCTCAATGTATCCCCATATAACCTTGGAATAAACATTCATAACACTTAAAAACTAACTTTTCCCCTTTAAGTCTGACAGCACACGCATTTTCAATCCCTTCGGCCAAATAAATTTATTTCCACAACCATGTCCTAAATATGCCCATGCCACACAAGTACAAGATAATTAATTTCACTAACCCTTCCTTTCACTACATGCATACCCACTACTGGGGACAGAAAGCCTGCTAGGTTACCGAGGTCTCCCTAGACTGATGACTGGCCTATACTGTATCACCTTCCATTTTCTCAGTCCCCCTACATGCTCATTCACTAAACCTCACACCCACCTTCATAAGATCATACTTAAAGTCTTTGCTGTATTAACCTAATGTTTCCAATCTATAAGTAACTAGTACAAGATAGTACAAGTTACACAGAAAACCATCATACCTGATGGCTTATATTTCTCAATTTCATTTCCTAATATAAGACATCTGTAACATCCATCATATGATTTAATACCAGCTTGTGCTCATGCATGCAGGGCTCTTAAGCCTGAAACAGCTTATATACTAACAATCTGCCAATATCTGCCAGCTCAGTCTTTATTGTCTTTTTCACAGCTAATATATATATAAATATAATATTTGACAGTGGATAAATTAATACTATACCACAAAATGTTTGGATCTAAGTTTGCAAAGTCCTCTCAATAGACATCATATTAAGAACATATGCCTTAGCAACAGTAGCAAACACACATACTTATACATGATAGCCAGGATATAAACCACTTGTACATTAGGTCCAGAACATCTGAAGTATTCATTATAAAAAAAAAATATATATATCCTAACCCAAATGGAGTTCATGCAATTTACCAAAATAAGGCCAAACCACTGAAGAGCAAAGATTTATCTGAAGTTACTGATCTACTGTGTAACTATGTTCCTATATGAAATAAAAATAGTTTTACATCACCCACTAATATGAATTATGAATAAAGTTAAATCAATCATATTCTTTACATCATATATTGCATGTTTAACAAGATTCTGAAGCAGCAATTATTATGCACACCAGTTCTTGTGTTTCTAAAACTTTTGTTTTGACAAAAGATACTCCATAACCGAGCTGCTGATTATTAGAGACTTATGGTTGCATAGCATGACATATCCCCATATGTTACAGAGTTGGGCATGGACCTTAAAAGCTCCTGTACCCTTTAAGGCAAGATCTGCTATGAACTTGATCTGGCCAACCCTATCAAGGATTCAGCTTTAGCGCTTCTTAAAACAGTTATTGACACAATCATACATTTCAGATTGAAACACACTATACAGTACAGTATACAAATATAAAATATTAAAATGCAATATTAAACATTAATAAAAATTATAAAATAATAAACAATCTAAGTACAATAAAAAAATATGATAATGTAGCCTAATTTAACTTAATAAATATAGCTATCTCTGTAATCTGTAAAATGTTGAGTTTTGAAGGTTAGCTTGCAACAGGATGAAAGCAATACAGAATGAGGTTTTCAAGAAAGTCATCACTAGACACTGAGCCATATAATTACTTCACCTTCTTCCTGATGCAAGCACCATTCAAAACATTTAATTCTATTTGAAACCTGAACTTTGTTTACCTGATAACTGCTCAGTAAAATAAGCCCCCTCAATCTGACGTGTGTACGTAATACTTAAATTACATACCTGAATAAAACTAACAACATACGCCAAGTACAGTACTTCTACTTCGCATGGCTAGCATAATTTGCCATTTTTCTCCTTTGTATGGTCAATATAACTTGAGTCCACTGTGCCTAGCCCAAGAGCAGCAAATTCTGCCCATGGCACATCATTAAGAGGCTAACTCCAATACTAAACTTATATTTCATGCAAGGTATATGTAAAATTTGGCATATGTCAACAAAACCTCCACCCACATAAGCCTAGCCATTTCTAAATATAAGACCACTAAAGACACTGGGCTTAGAGCACCTGGTATAATGCTAGTAAATAAAATAGATTTTAAGTCTTGGCTTGTTTACAGGTAGAATCTTGAGGTATAAAGTTTATGTGATCATTCATATGTAAGATGAGGAGCATCACAAGGATGTACACACAGTAATGACACAGATGGTTATATCTGCAACTGTTCCAAACTACAAGGTTTGTATTGGAAGAGACTCCCTGGGAAGGGGGTGGGGGGTGGGTGGGAAGAAGAAGCTGCAGCCCTGCATACCAGTCACAAGATAAATCACATTCACACAACTTCTGACGACTGCAACTTATGGCGGATATATCGCCTTGAGAACCTTTTATCAATATTCTTAACCTTTGTTTTTTTAGTTTCATTAATGTATAAGAATTTGATTACCAGTAATACCTGAAATACTCAATACCTCTCAAACAAGATATCCAAATTGTGAAGAATACAGTGTTCCATTTAGGCATTTGAATCAAGCTCCTCAATGTGGCTGACATAGCAAGAGACCCGTTCTTGATTGTGAAGCATTCAACCTTACAGCTTAAAAAAAAAAAAAAGTTTTATGAGGAGAGTTGGAATATGTAACATATGCCCTGTCACTTCCTGAGTTGTGTGCTGAAGGAAAATGTTTATGCCATATGACACCACATTTTCCAAATACCTAATTGGAACACTTGAACCCTAATGCCACAACAGGCTATTCACCATACCTACCAGTACTTAATATTATGTACACCACATTCTACATATTAGTAACAAAATTATTTTTTGTTGAAATGGTCATAAGATTTCCTGTACAATGCATAGATGGTTTCCAGGACTGTGTTCGCAATGAGATTCTGGAAAATCCCTTGTGCACTCATATACATCATGACCATGATAATAGTTGCATATCCACTATTCTAGACTTAAAGAGGCATTGTTTCACACTATCACTGGCTTTAACTGAAATGGATTATCAGTTTGCACATGAAAGCAATACCTTCTGAGGAAGCAAACTCTCAATCCCAGCACAAGAATTCATTTTGATTGAGCCTGTTGCCCTTGTCATTAGCTTCATACCATAAATACTGCTTTTTATACCACACAACTAAAATGGTACTGCAGGTAGCTGCTGTTAAAAGGTTAAAATTTTAAAAAGACCAGACCAGTTTTGCTAGATGCAACCTCATCACCATCACTAGTCAGACCAAGGTTGGTGGAGATGATGCAGAGACAGCTGTCCATGTAAGAGCTGTGCAGCGCCATCTTGGTGACCTTGGCCCATTTGATGACTACCCATTTGTTGGCCCTGGTGATGCTGTTGCTGCTGCTGTTGCTGCTGCTGTTGCTGCTGTGGCTGATGATGCTGCTGTTGCTGATGATGCTGTTGTTGCTGGAGCTGTTGTAAAGTTTGTTGGAGGTAGTTTTGTTGCATGGCTTGCTGTCTCTGCATACGTTCCTGAGACTGTTGACGCCCCTTTTTCAGCTGGCTTATACGCACAGCTAGTCGGCGAGACTGATCAAAGTACAACTTACGTAACTGCTTCATAACTTCAGTGGCTTTAGAGAAGAAAGTGCATTGTTCAGTTGTGATACCTGTCATTTCTGCTATATCCATGGGAGCAGGATCAGAATTACTATTATTTCCCCCTTCAGGTGCTGCCCCTTCCCCTTGTTGTGCCTGTTGATTTACCTGTTGCTGATGTTGTTGTACCTGGAGTTCAGCCTTTGATACTTTAGCTATAGTACCAGGACTGGACATTTCCAGAAGAATAATTTGATGCATGTAGTGAGCCAATTGTGTGCGTAGAGCATCAATACTTTCAAATGTTTCAATGAGCCTTGAAGTAGCCCTCTGGCGCTTGCTACTGCCACCCATGGTGGTGTAATTCTGGGTGGCATTACGGCAGTAGCTCCATTCCTTTGCTACAGATCGCAGAAGCTGGAAGTGTGGGGTCGACTCCAGCCCAGTATAGCAGGACAGCAGGGGTCCCGGCTCAGATAGCTGCAAGCATTCTTCCAAAAAGCGTCTGATGAGTCCCCCTACCGGGTGCGGTGGGGTCCGACAGAGCCCTGGGGAAGAGACACACACCCGCATCAGAGCACGGCCACCACAGAAGGGGAGGGGGGACTCACAGGGGATTACCACCCCCAGCACACCCACAAACGTACTCACAGGGATTGCATGAACACTTGTTGGAAGAATGCTTGCGCCATAAACAACAACTTTCAGTGAGCCCCATGGCAAAGCCTTTATTGTGCCTTCTCTCTTGTTGGAAGTCCATAGGCTGCCTTTTGGCACTCATTTAAGATAAAAGGTGAGCTTTCAGCCCTTAAAGAGAGAAGTGAAGTGGCACTTGAAGAGTATCACTGCTGAAGCCATAACAAGGCTTGATGCAGTGGACACTCCCAACTACTGAATATGACAAGGACTAAAATGTCCACTTTTTCACTGTTTCAAGCTGTTATGTCACAAACATTCTACAAACATGGTCAAAGGGGTTGTATGAGACCATGCACTCATGTTATCTTACAAAATACTAATTTTTAAGAGAAAAGCAAATAGCTATTCAAAGAAAATAAAGAAAAATATAAACACATACAATGAGTAACAAGCATAACTATTGCAACTCAATACAAGTTACTCTACTATTATACTATGTTAATGATAAAATTCTAAGCAATCAGCTAAACCAAAACAAAGGATTCCCATGCCTGCAATACTTGAAGCAGTGACAAACAAAACAACAGTGATGCACAAGTATCAAAACCAGAACGTCTCTTGGCATCATGATTAAACAAATAAAAGGAGTTGATCAGGTTTCCTCACTTAAGGTAAATTTAATCAGCTATTTGCATTCCAAGAAATAATTCGCATTAGCAAAAGAAATTATATTTGGTGTATAAATCAAATAATATATTTGTTGTAAGATGCCTCCTTTTGTCAACTTCAACAACAGCCACAGTTCCTTTTGAGCCACTGCAGTGGATATTAAAAGTTAACTTTTAATCCACTTGTGGTTTGTATTTCACACACATTTAACCCATTACTCAAAGCTATCCCACAATACTGTTATGCATTACCCCACAAATCAATTTCTCCAATTTTCAACCTTTCTTGTTTTCAGTCTACTTTTCCATAAACACTTTCGTAGGACACACTTTTTTTTTTTTACATACTCGGTATATTCGTTAGAAAAAACAAACAAGAAAAAGTATTAGCTGCTGCTTGCACAGTACATGTGTACAGTTACTATTGGTGGCACTTCATCAAGAGACTGTGAAGAGTAAGGTATTCATAAGTGTGATGATTTTTACTTTTCCCAACCGGAGCGAGGATGTATGGATGATATGTGCAACTGGGAGAGAGGTTTCAAGATTTTACAACAATGTAAATCACAAAACTTTTCCAGACATGAAACCTAAATACCTATACTTTACCTGGTGAGGTTGCAAATGGTGAGGTTGACGTCCACGTATCCATTTGTAACACTTAAAACTTTATCAAAAATAACATACCAGAGTAAACTTTATCAAAGCAACAGATTTCAGGAAATAAAAATAAATGTAGTATAGAAAAATACTGTGACTACTCACCATCTTGTGTCTTGACTTGGGGCGGCGGAACATAAGAAGGTAATAGTGGCCCGGGGGGCGGGGGTGCATTTGGGGGAGCTTGTTGGGATTGTTGTGAGGAGGAGGCAGGACCTCCTTCTCTCAGGTACGCCTCTGGGACAAAGGCCTCACCTTCACCACCTGTAAAATGATCATATACGAACCAATATTACATTATTGCTATAACAGTAATAAAATGAGTAAATGCTTTTGTTTAAGTGAGTTATAAAATTAATATGAAAATAATAATAAAGGTCACTGATATTAAGCAGTGAACTCCATACTTGAGTCAGTGGAATAGTGATGTAACAAGCCTTACAAAGATGTTTTTTTGCGTCAAACCACAACTTCTAACTCACATGCAGTAAGTAAATTAAAAACTTCACCAAACTAGCAGTTTCCCCACCTAATTATTGTATTTATATTTTGCTAGTGACTCAATTTCAATATTATCCATTCTCATTCATACACCAAGTAGAACCAACCCTAACAAAATTCAAAAGTAACTGGAGAAAATGGGCAGTCATGTACAACAGCTTATCTATATAAAACATCGCAAATTCTTGAGTGTTCTGTGCACTTATTTCTTTTTTTTAGAATAACTTTTGTATAGTACAGTATTGCTCATTTTAACAACATCTAATATAATAATTTTAGATTTGACAATAGTATGGGTCATCCAAAACACGGCATTTATTTGGTATGGAACACAACTTTGCTAGGTTATCTGGGTTTGTTACGGAACTGTGCTTCACCCACTGAGATTATCGAGTACAGAATTGAGAGGACTCAGTTATGAGGACAGGTTGAAGGAAATCCCTCACACAATCCCTTAGATGAGAAAAAACAAAGGAGATATGGTTACAACATGCAAGATCCTGAGAAGAGTAGAAAAATGTGAACAAAAAGAAACAATTTAAATTAAAAGAAGGTAGGACAAGGGGATTTTGATGGAAGTTGGACAAGCATCCGAGTCATAGAGATGTAAGGAAATTCTCAACAATTCAACTGTCAAAGCCAATTCCAGCCAAAACTTTAGCTCCAAAGTGCAGTTATAATCGTATGTTGATCCTAGGGTAATGCAGTTATCATATGTTCATCTTGGTTATCACCTGGTTTTCATACAAATTACATAAATATGGTTATAATAATATATCTATATGGAATTAATGCAGTCACATCAAATTCTGCTATTTTTAGCTGCTTACTACTATGAGGTTATCTTGTACTACAAGTTGTGAGACTATCATAAAATCACAATCTGGTGTTTCTTGTTAGTGTTTGAATCTATTTCAAAATAACAATACCTCAGAATAGTACCAAAAGAGTGGGTTGCAAGATGTTTTCTATGACATGTGCCAGGAACAGATTTACTAAATTGGTAGGTCATTTACATAAATTAGAAAGAGCAATAGTCCTAGGAATGATCCTTGTGAGACTACGTCACACACACTGGAGGCCTGGTCCGCGAGGACGCTAAGCCCCGAAAACACCTCAAGGTAAGGGTTACCACCCTTTTAATTAAGTACCTCATCTTAGTATATTATATGACCCTTTGCTTTGCGTCAAGTCCTCCACAACCCTTGTGTGGAAGTTTTATTACTTAAGATGGTTTCCCATTAGATGTTTGCAAGTTCTATGTTTATTTTTCTCAATCAATCCTCATATTATTAAAATTATATTAATTGAATAATCCCTTCTAGCTTGATAATTTTCTGGGACATATTAAGAGTATTGATGTAAGTTTGCATTTCAATGATCTTGTGACCTGAGTATGTGATATCTAATATGGTAATGTCCCAGATTATTTTGTCATTGCTTGTGAAGATCAGATCTAGAATAGGTTTCATTCCTAGTTAGCTCTGTTATCTGCCAGTTGAGCAAAAATTTGTCACAGAATCTAAGAAGTTCTCTAACCTGTGGTTGGTTATTTCCTGAATGATTTTCTGGTATAACATTTTTGTTAGCTAGTCACCATCTTAAGCTGGGCAGGTTGAAGTCTCCAAGGAAGATAGTACTGTACTGTATCTGGTATTGGATTTGCCACATTATTGAGACCATTGTCTATTCTACTTATCTGCTCTGTGAATTCTTCAACCATTGCATTTGGCAGTTAGTATATTACAATAATAATTAGGTGCATTTTCTCTACTTTTACAACAAGTATCTCTACGACCTCATATGTAGAGTTTAGGAGCTCTGAACCTACAAGGTCCTCTCTAATATACAAATCAAATATTGCTTTTGCCTCTGTGAGGAGGCTATATATGAATGGTATTTTGTTTGTCACCCCTTTTTTTAGTCCCTGTATATTGGCACAAATAAATGAGGTTACTCATTTATGACCTGACCATTTATGGTCATATTTGGACCATTTACTCATTTATGACATTTATGACCACACTTATGCTGACCTGAAGAGCGTGCAGAGATCCTGTCCTGCTAGAATCCACACACTAAAACATCTAAACTATTGGGACCGACTAAAGTGCCTAAATCTGTATTCTCTTGAGCGCAGGCGGGAGATACATAATAATTTACACATGGTAAATAGTAGAGGGGCTGGTCCCAAACCTGCACACAGAAATACCACCAAATGAGACCAGAAGGCATGGCAGGATGTGCAGAATACCCCCATTGAAAAGCAGAGGTGCAATAGGTACTCAAAGAGAACTCTATCAACATCAGAGGCCCGAGACTGTTCAACATGCTTCCACTACACATAAGGGGCATTACTGGTCAACCCTTCACAGTGTTCACGAGAGAACTTGATAAACACCTCCAAAGGATACCTGATCAACCAGGTTGTGACTCATACATCAGGCTGCGTGCAGCCGTGTTCAACAGTCTGGTTGAATAGTCTAGCAACGAGGTGGCCTGGTCGATGACCAGGTCGCGGGGATGCCAAGCCCCAAAATCATCTCAAATTAACCTCAAGATAAGGTACTCTCTATAATGTATTTAGACTGAGGGGGTGGGGTTCAGGGAAGTCCGTTATGCAAAGGAAAGCAAATTAGAAAAAGTTCAAAGGCAAGCAATGAAATGAATTCCAGAATTTAAAAATATGAACAATGAGGAAAGATTAAAGGCTCTGGACATGCCCTAATTGGAAGAATAAGGAAATAATTATCATTCTACTTCATAGAAGGATTTGAAGAATAAGGTAGGAAAAATTAGACACTGTATAAGCAGAACTAGAGGGTATAGTTGTAAAAATCAAAGAAAAGGTCTAGAAAGAATAAGATGTACATTTTTCAAAAGAATGGTAAATACTTGAAAAAACTCAAGGGTGAGATTGTTTACCCATAGACAATTTTGAAAGTTGTTTCACTCTACAGCATGGCCTTTGGTTCAAAAGGTTGTTTTCAAGGCCTGTATGCCCACATAACCATCACAGATTGAATGCTTCCACCATTTAATTTTTTATAGTAGCTTGAAATTATGGACCTCTCAAATTCTCACAGTGTTCTGCAATTGTACTAATGCCACCCATACTTTTCATTTGATTTATTTTAAACATCCTAGAATATCTCACTCCAGTTTATTGTAATTTTACTTATGCTGAATTGTTACTTGCTCCTCCAGTATTTTCTATGCTACTGCTATGAAAATCTCTCTCATCTTTGTTTCAAAGAACATAATCCGAGTGCTCTGATATGATGATAGCAGTTCAAGTGCTTAACAGATTATGTATGGAGTAAAGGCCAATATATATATTCCAGTTCAGAAATTTCACATACCTTGAGGGGAAATTTAAGGACCTAGCAAATTTAATTATCGAGATGGTGCCAGTGCTTTGAATGTTATCATCCCTGGTGTAATATTATTCAATTTAAATATTCCTCATCAACTCAAATATTAAATTTTTCTAGATTAGTCCTTCATTCTATTAAGAGATTTGACTTTTTATTCTGTACTCCTTTTAAGGTCTACATTATCCCATATAAAAGTAACTAAAAATTCTTGACATTGAACATTATGTTATACCACATTGTCCATTGGAAGGTCATTTTTATATTCAATTGGAATTTTTCTTTTTCTTCCACAAAGGTAAGTTTCATACTTATTTTGAATCATTAGCAAAGAATGATGCAAGACTGGTTTGCATTTCCATGTCTTCTCTGAGGAAGAGCAATGGTACAAAGACAGTACCATGTGGATCAAGTTTCATACCGTTATGAGACTGTCTATCCGTAGCTACTAATACATCATAACACAAGCAACAGCATACATCACTCCAGTAACACTATCAACCATTTTCTAAGTACAGTCCTGTGCTGATATTTAGATTCTTGCCTATACAGCACTGAAGAAATTAAAGTGCTCACACTCCACTTCCAAGAAATTGAACTCAACTGACATGCAACACCTTAGTACTTAGTACAATACAGTATTTAGGTACAAGTATTCAACTACAGCATCAGAAAAATAGTCACGTGACACCTACCTTCATATGCAGAATCACTGCACTCTTTTAGTTCAACCATCTCTTGTTTGACAGGTATCATTTCTGAATCTGAATCACCTGATAACCGACTATCATCATTTGGGGTATGTGGTTCTTGAGAGGGTTGGTGGACGTCTATAGATAACCTGGGTCGTTTAGGACTGACGGAATCTGAGTCACATCCTTCTGGTGGTCTTGGAGAGGATGAACGAAGTACTCTCTGCTGAAAGGTGATACAAATGCCAATGTTAATTTCTCTTCAAGCTAATTTTATCTTTTATATGTTAAGAAAATAATATACATTATTGTTCAATGATATATGAACATTGTATTATACAGTACCCCATCAAAAGTATGTGCTGCCCTGCTCGAGGCAGCGCGAACTTATGGCATAAGAAGAATGGCAGTTTTGCCAGTGAAATGTGTGTTATAGAAATTTGCACCAAGTACTTGATGTCAGGAGGTTGCCCCAGCTTCCTACAGCCACACAGCTGGTAGGTTCAGTTGTCCCTGGGCATTCATAGTGAGCAGTTGTGTTATGTGTCTTGCTCTGGCACCATGCCATGTTCCATCACAGTTAACAGTGGCGCTGGTGGTATTTTATTGTTATTATGGCACCTACCAAGGAACTAAGCAAAGAAACTATCACTCAGATAATTGCTCTGAAGCAGGCAGGCCACCAAACAAAGGAAATTAGCAAGATGCTCTGTGACAAAGACCAGAGTACCGTACACAAGTACTGTCGCTGCTTCCAGGTAGACCCCACGAGTCATACACCAACACAAAAACCACGCTCTGTTCACTCTACCTGTACATGGTGAAGTGACCAGATCACTGTAAGGTGTGCGAGCATTCTTAAACATAAGATGTCAGGCTGCTCGTCCAACAGCCTGGTTGACCAGTCCAGCAACGAGGAGGTTTGGTCAACGACCGGGCCGCGGGGACGCTAAGCCCCAGAAACACCTAAAGGTAACCTCAAGGTAAGGTACATTAGAGGATATGCCATCTGTTACAGTGAGGATAGTGAAGGAAAAAACCTGAAATGTCTGGAGGAATTGTCCGTGCATATGTGCACTTACAATTGGCATGTTCACAAGTAGGTTATATTTGGCCATACCAAAAAAAAAAAAAAACTGCTAACACATGCAGAGAGAGAGAGAGCTCGCAGGGGTTGCCTTTCCCCAGAAATACCTTACATGGACTCAGGATGACTACTTTCAGTTTTGTGGAGTGATGAAGCAACATTTGCTGTGACATGCAACCAAGGAGCTTGTGTTTATCGCCAGCTGAGCAGTGACCCCCCCCCCCTGGGTGCACAGTATGTGGAGAGCACCATGAAACATCCAGATTCACTAAAGGTGAGGGGTTGTTTCACAGGCAGGTGTTTAGGCAAGCTTCTTGCACTTCCTAAAAACCTTAAGTGAATCAAGCAGTTTACCTGGAGCTCCCATGTTATTATTTGCCAGATTCTTTCAAGCCAGGACATGACAAAGTGTTTTAACATATCAGTGTTCCAGCTCACACTGCCAAATCTGTCAACAAGAGGCTTGATGGCTGCATGTTACCCTTCATGAAGGATAGCCCAGGTAACAGCCCGGATCTCAACCCAATTGACAACCTCTGGAACATGGTTAAGATGGATCTGCAGGTAAGAGACATCAACTCCATACCCAAGTTGGATGCGACCATTCGTCAGTCCTGGAACAACATCTCACCTGACCATCTACGTAATCTTGCTCTGTCACTACCGCAATGTTTCCAAGTCATGAAGAAGAGAAAGGCCCACCCAACCAAGGATTAATAGATAATTATATACATCTTTTACTATAACTGACCATATGTCTTGTTTTTGGGCACTGCCTCAAGCAGGGCAGTGCATATTTTTGATGGGTACTGTATTAAAACATTATCTTGATTGCACAAGGGTTATATGAGACATTATCTACATGCACACAAGAAAATTTAAATCAAATGTTTTTGTCTTCCTAAATTTAAAACCCATGCCCTTAGTGTAAGAACAGAGTCCGAAAATTTTTAAGTCACTTTCCAAGATTGTAGAAGTTTGCTCGAGATCTCAAATAAAGACTGGGAACACTGTACAAGTGTAAGTTTCAAATGTTGCAGAGTACCTAAACTATCTCATGATGGTATGCACACTATGGATTGAACATTAGAGAATGGTATGTGCATTTCAATGGTTAAGGGAATAGACAGGGCAGAAAATGTCAGACTATTTAGCAAGGGTGGCAGACATTAGAAAACAAAAATAAGTTACAGAATAGTGAACAAATAAAAAGTGCTCAGTAAAGTGGTAAAAGCAAACTCTCTACACAGTTTCAAGTGTAGAGGTGATGAAGCCCAATAGGCTCAGGAATCTATACAGGAATCAGAATTGAGAGGCAGCACCTACGAATTGTAAAGCTGCCTCTCGCGAGAACAGCTAGGCAAGAATAAAGGACTGACAGTAATCATTACCTAATTTCCATGTTTTTAATGGGGAAGCATCAGCCTGGAGAAACAAAGGAAGTAGCATAAAGAAAACTAACGACATTAAATATAAAATGCTTGTCCATTCACTAATGCCTGCAATAAAGCCAATATTGTATAAGATTTTTTTCACTAACATCCACTACAATCAGCCCCCATTATCAGAAGAATAACTACCAGAAAGATGATCACCACAACAAGGATTAGTACTTTGTAGTAAATGTGACACCAGACACAGCACAATCATAAAGAATCAAGACAAATTCAACCCTACAACTCAACTTGCTTAACCACTGCACTGCGCAAAGTGCCTTGAGGCTCTCGACGGGTGGTGCGCAACGCGCCTCAGGGATCTCATAAGTACAGTACAGTACAGCTTATCATTCAAAACTTGCGCAGCTACAGAGTTCACATCAACTTCCAGAAGGCTCTCCTAAACAGACTCCATTTAAAACAAAAATCGTGGGCAACATTCGCCTCTGTGCTGAGTAAGCAACCAAGACTGGCACACACAGCATGAGCTAACAGCATTGCTGTTCAGCTTGTGACCACAGCATCGCCTAAAAATGTCAAAATATATATGTATCTGGTATTATTTAGCTATGATGGTATTACAGAAGAGCCTGACTGTGATAAAAACTGTGTACAATATTCAGACATCAGTGAATAAATGCTGTTCAAGATGTTCACAGCACTATCCACAGCACACTGCCATTATTTTGCCCATCTAAACTTCTTCAAATGACTTCTCATGTTCCTTTACAAAATAAACATGTGGAAAATTATTCATTTACATGATTTAGTGACCAGGATTCTGATAATAGCAGGATTGTAGTGAGAATTAGCGATGTGCATAGTATAATGGGAGGAGCAATCTTGATGAGGGAGGGGAGGGTTGAAGTAGCATCATCTGCTTGCTGGTGTGTGGCAACATGTTATTGTCTGGAATCACATTACCAGCTTAGTGGTTCACTATGATGAACACAAATGTAGATACTTATATATAATGTGTGTATAGAGTGTAATAACAGCAAAAGGAGTTTGCTAGGAGGAGCCATTTTGGTGAGGGAGGGAGTGAGGCTGCAGTCTGCTGGCTACTGTTTGACTTGCCATGCAGTGGCCACTATGCTGTATGGATACCATACCAGCTTAGTTGTACAGTTATGGTGAATAAAACATGTAGATACCTGTACTTATATATAATGTGTGTATATAGTTAAATAACTCCACAAACAGTATGGTTGGGGGAGGAATGTTAGTGCGTCTTGCCTTGAACCAGTGAGGGAGGCAGCCGTCAGCGGTGTGTGGGGCGACCTCTCTTTTATTGCGTGAACTCGCCATACCAGTTTAGTTGTACAGTTATGGCGAACAAAACATGTAGATACTTATATATAACGTGTGTAAATAGTGTAATAAAAACAATAACAGTATGGTGGGAGGTGGTGAGTGGAGTGTTGAAGGAGGGTGGGAGTCAGCCAGCAGCTGCTGTGTTGCAGCCACTCTTGTTGTTTTGGGCTCACCAAACCAACTTAGTGGTTTGTTTTGGTGAACACACATGTAGATAGGTATATACAATGTGTGTGTGTATATAGTGTAATAACAGCAAAAATACTGTTTGATTGATCGTAGAATATAATATACATGTCACATATATGAGTCCCATAATTTTGAGCATAGCGATGTTCCATATATTGAACTACAGTATATAAATTCTACAAATTCCACACGTTTGAATAATATAACAGCAAAAAATCTGAGTAGAAACGAATGAGAAACATCAGAATAATTGTGAAACATTATTCACGGCAACTGCCACTCAACGGGGTGGCGGGGCCATCTGACCCCAAACGCTCCATCACCCAGCGCCCATAATTTGCTCAACTTCCCAGCTCCATCACGGCTAATGTTTGTCACATACAATATTTTTTTTTTTTAGTTTCCCATGATCAGAGACTGCATTTTAACAATATAAGATAAATTTTTTTTTTTAAATAATTTATTTTCGGCGCACCGCAGGTTAGTTATGTTTTAATGCAAGCAGTGCAGTGGTTAACTGATACTAAAAAAATATAAAACAACATCCTTAATACCTCACCTTTCCTGGCTCACCCCATCTTTATCCTGAATGAGCTACTAGTCCTATATACTGTACATGTACGGTGGAACCTCGGTCTACAACTGCACCCGAATACAAATTTTCCAGTGAATGACAAAAATTGTCAGAAAATATACCCAGGTGTACGACGTTTGCTCCAGAGTACGAACCACTTGTTCATACTTGTCCAAGTTGGTAAGATCAGTTTATGTTTGTATCCTGTCAAGTTATAACTGCACTTTAATTCTCTGTGAATAATTTCATTGTTTTAGTGGTTTTCTGTTGCTTAACAAAAAAAGTTCTTATTATACATCATGCCACAGGTCCCACAGAAGTCATGTGGTAAAGTTCAACCTAAGAAAATAGGTGTGAGGATACAACAGTAAGGAGAAGTTGAGGAAAATGATGATAGAAAAATAAAGAGATCATTCTTCAACCTGAAGACATTGTGTGTGTAGTTGATTGACTAGGAAAATGTGTGCAGTATGGGAAGAACTGTAATGTTTTGCTGAAAAGACTCACCCAGATAAAGCTGGAGTAATCCACTGTGTTGACCTTTTTAATTACAATGTGAGTCTCAGTATAGATAATTGTTAAAATGTAGGCAAAAGAAAGTGTCTTTAGACAGATTCTAAGTGAGACAAACAACCAGTGAGCCACAACCAGGTCCTTGTGGTATGCCTACAAAATGAAAGAGAAAGTGTACGCTAGAAATGCCATCATTGCCTTATGTTATAATTGAAGGGGGACTGTTTCAAACACTAACACCTTCCCTCCACCTCACCGTCTTCCATAGGCCAACAAAAGTCGGCAATAAAAGTGAGGAGCAGTTAAATTTTAATTTATTTTATTTAGTTTATATTTATTCCTTGTTGTTTTGTGTATGGAAAAATATTAGTACAGTATTCTGAATAAAATGTATTTCCGAGTTAATATTTTGGGTATATGGAACGGATTACAGTAATTTCCTTTCCATTATTTCTTATGGAGAAAATTTGATTCGATGTACAAATATTTGGGTTACATTGCATTTCTTGGAACAGATTAAATTCACACACCAAAGCTTCACTATACAGTACAGTATATCTATTTGATTTTATAAAACCCCTAAAGGCTTTTAAGGGTTATGTCATGTTAAATAAAGCTTTCTTCCAGCTTGGAGTTTCTTTAGATCAAAATAATAGTAGTTAATATGAAATCTCACCTTTTCACTATCCTCTGCAAGGCCCCGGATCTTTAACATTTCTGCAGTTTTGAGAAATCTAGCCAAATTTTCTTGATGCACATTTACTTCCCCCTGATATATAAATCGTAGAAGCTTCTCTAAATCTGCAAAACGCACCTCCGGTGGCAATATGACAATTGGATGCTGACATGGATTTGCCTGAAAAATAAAATATGAAATCCTGGTGGTATCTATAATGAATTAAAAGAAATAAATTACATTAGCAGCATAATTAATCTATAAATGGACTTAACAATGAAAAAGTAATTCAGAAATTACAGCACTGAGGTTAATAAATATTAAGTCAAACAAACAAGTACAGTAGATTCATACTACTGTATTAACATTCTGGGACACCAGCATATTTTTAGCTTGAGACGCTTTCTCTTGATAGTTTCCTCCCTTTCAGCACCACCCCAGATGTGGAGGCTTTGAAGCGTGCTGTTCTTGCCTTGGCAGCCATGCTCAAGATGCTCACCCTTCTCTTTTGGTAAGCGGAGGTGGCATTTTACTCGATCAGACTTGTGTGTTGAAAGGCTGTGTTGGCTCATTCATTAGATTTGGCATGGTACTTTTCTATTTTGTCCATTTCCCCTTCCTCTCCTCTTTTCTCCTTTCAAAGGATGTAGTGTCCCAATTTCTGTATGCAGCAGCCTCCTGTCAGCCTATTAAATATTTGTTACTTTCTTGGGGTTCTGCCCCCCGCTCGGAGGTGGTCTGATTGGGTTGGGACTTGACCTGCAGTTATTCATGGTAGGTCCTCATCCCTTTGGTGGGTGTCCCGGTCACCTTCATTCCCTGTCCAACCTTCTGTGTGATCGCCTTGGCTCATGTGCGCCTGGTTTTACAGATGGTATTTTACATTTGCAGCTTGGATGGTGTCTCTGAACCTCAATGATGCATACTGGTACATCCCTATTCATCCCAAGTTCAGGGACTGGTTAGGTTTTGTGATGTGCCATCTGGCATACTGCTTCAAGGTTCTTCTTTTGCCTTAAATCTGGTTCCCCATGTCTTTGCAACACTGGCACAGATAATTCTGTCCTGGCTGCACCTTCTAGTGGTTTGTGTGTTGGCTTACCTTGATGGGTGGCTAGTTTGAGGTACCAACCAGTCCATGTCAGCAAACTGTGGATCTGATTCTCTCCCAGATGAGCAGGGTCAGGTTCCTGATTAACTGGCAGAAGTTACAGTTAGTTTCATTTCAGATTTAGACCTGGATGGGCCTCATTTGGGACTCTGTTGGGTTCTTTTTCCCCTGCCTCCGGAAGCTTTGCGCCGTCTTCAGCTTTGTTGCTGGTTGGTGTTGGATCGGCCCTGGTTGACTTACTTTGAATGCATTGTCTTTTTCCTGACTCCGAGCATTGTGTTGGTTTTTCTGGTCCATCCATTTTGCTGCTCCCGGGACTGGTGGGTTTGGACCCCAGCTGCTCTCTGTCAGCTCCAGCTCCTGTCTCACTGGCTTTCTCTTCAGGGTTTTGGGGGTTCTGTTCCTTGGTGCCATCCTTCTCCATCACTCGATATGTTCACAAATGTTTTGGCTCTGGATTGGGGCTTCATGACCAGCGCTCAAAAGGCTGCCCATGATCGGAGGTCAGGCCCATTCCTTCGGGCACGGAGTGCACGAGTTTGTGGCTGTGTAGCATGCCCTGAAGAGGATTTGGCCACCACCAAGCTCTGGGCTGTAGCACCACTAACTGCTCCCTGGTGGTTGAGGGAGGCCTGAACTGAGAGGGGGTCACTTTGGTCCATCGCCCTGTTGAGCTAGATGCATTGCGAAGCTTGGCTTATAGTTTCTCAGGGTTTGGGAACTGGTTTGGTTCCCTGTGTGGTTCACATGCAGTGATTATGGAACGTTCTCACAGATGGGTTATCTCGCTTCCGTCCCATATGTTCAGAGCGGACCATCAACAATGCGCCCTTCTGTTAAATCTGAGATGTTCAGTCACCCTGAGGTGGACCTCTTCACATTGGCCTGGAACCAGTGCCTTCCCTCCTACATGATTCTGTTCCCCCATCACAAACCTCTGGCGATGGATGCCTTTCGAGTAGACAGATCAAGGTGAAAGTGCAGTTACCTTTTCACTTTGGTTCAGTTGTTGAGCTGGGTTCTGTCCATTCTGGAGTCATATTTGAGGAAAGTCATCCTTCTGGCGCCTTAGTGGCCAGCCCAGCCTTTGATTCTGGCGCTTCATGCCCAGTGTCCAGAAGCAGGTGTTTTTCCACAGCTCTGCTTCTTTCAGCCGATCGGCCTATTGCTGTACTGCACTGCTTCAACCTTCTGTTGTGGTCCCTTGACTGATTGTTTCTCCCTTTCTTCACCTTATTTTATACTGTTTCCAGTTTGGTTCGTAATGACTTTCTCAAAGCTGTTTTTGTTTGCTCTTTTGCTCTTGCCAACAAAAGGTTGGTGAACTTTAGGCTCTTCTCTTGAGGCGGGGGTTTTATTCCTTTGGCCCTGGTGGGCAGTTTATTAAATTGCAGCCTTCTTTTCTGCTGAAGAATCAGTCGGCAAACTTTTGGAGGGGTTATATTGTAGGGAGCCTTTGAAGTGTGTTTAACTCTTGAATTTAGAATCTCCACCAGTACAATAGTCAGCAGTGCACATGCATAGAACATTGTCAGAGCAGGAAAATGTCTTCCCAAAAGAGTGAAAAGCCAAAGAAAATACTTGTGCAAAGGACATTCAGTGATCGAAAATATATAGAAACAACATTGTTAAATGTGAAAAAACTGTCTGGCAAAAAGCTGGCATAAGCTAGCACTAACCTTCAAGAGATCTCTGAAGAAAACTGAACATGCTGAAAGTAGCATTTTGTGAGCTTTGAGAAACTGTCCTTCACATGCTAGAGTTACATCTACAAAATCTTGGTCGTTCTTAAATCCATCCAATGCAGTTACTAAGCTAGAATGGAAGTTGTTCCAGCGGAGGCAGAACTCCTGGGCATTAGCTGTCATTGCACCAGAGTCCTCCATCGCGCTCCTGAAATGAAAGAAAAAATTATTTTTATAAATTATAAATTACTTTCATTATAAAACTGCAGTCTTTCTACATGTGTATGCCATTCATACGGTTTCTCACATGGTGTACTGTTAATTTTAAAGCAGCCAATAAGTACTGTATAGTACTGAACAATACTGTACATGGACCCAAAAAATCTGACCACCCTTACATTATTTGCCAAATCATCATTCCAACTGGACAACCAAGTGTCTGAATTAAATTCTTGTGCAGGATGAAGAACTTATATACATAGGTATACATACACAATACACAGTGTCTGTCACTTTTATCGATTTGTTACTATTTTATAAGTAGTGATCGTATCACCTTTTTCTTCTATCTTCTAGCTTTGGCATATTTAAAGCCTCTAACCTCTCTTCACAGCTCTCATTTTTCAATTCCTAAAATGATTTAGTTGTGCGTGACTTTGCACCTTCTTCAGTTTAGTGATGATGTTCTTAAGATATGGGCATCATACAACTAACTGGTGCATATTCCAACTTTGGTCTTGGAAATGTCATGAATAATTTCTTTAATACTTAGCCATCCATGTACAGTATTTAAAAGTGATTCTAAAATTAGAAAGCACAGCACACCCTCCTCGCATACTATTCTTTATGTGATACTCAGGTGAGTTTTTATCCAGAACCACCCCAAACCTCTCGATCAGAATTCTTTAAAGCATTTTCACATAATTTGTAGGTTGAGTATTGCCCTTTTCTCATATTCCACATTCTGTAACATGGCATTTATTCACATTCCATCTGCCAAGTATTACTCCATACACTTATTTTGTCCAGGTCTTCTTAAGGGCCATAACAATTGTCTAAATTTATCTTCCTGACATTATCAGCAAACATGTTCATATAATCATGTATGCCTTCTGGTAGATGGTTAATCTTCCTGACATTATCAGCAAACATGTTCATATAATCATGTATGCCTTCTGGTAGATGGTTAACATAGACAATGAACATTACTGGTATCAGAACTGAACCCTGTGGTACTCCACTTGAAACACTTCTCCAGTCTCCAAACTTCAGTCAGCTCTCATTTTTGTTGGAAATTTTTCATCCATGCCAGAGGTCCCCTCGTCACTCCTCCAGCATGTTTCAGTTTCAGAACAACTATGTGGGAATGTATCAATCTATGTGGGAATGTATCAATCCCTTTTTTTTTTTAGGTCCAGATAAATGCAGTCAACCCAACCATCCTGTAAACCTCTGTGGCTCTATCATAGAAACTTAAGTAGATTTGTTACACAGACATTGCAATTGAAAACCACACTATTACTGTTTATCATTTCTCTCCAGGTATTCTACCCATTTGGTTTTAAATATTTTTTCAAATGTTTTGACTACTATGCTTGCCAACAATATAGGTCTATAATTTAGAGGGTCTTCCCTGCTACCATTTTTGTAGATTAGAACTATGTTGACCTACTTTCCATATGTGCCAAGTCCCCCATACACAAAGACTGAAAAGTCAATTAAAGAGGAGTGCTGAGTTCAGATACACAACCCAAGGTGAAACTCAATCTGGGGTAACTGTTTTGTTCCTACTTAACTTCTTGAGCATTTTTTCCCCACTTCATCTCGCGATATCTCTTTATACTATACAGTACTCTGAAATTCGTATTGCGTCCAGTTCTCTGAAAACTTCATTTTGCATAAACACCCTCTGGAACTGTTGTTTAGCATTTCACACATTTTCTTTTCATTCTCCATGAATCTGTTCCCCATTTTCAACCTCTAAATTTTATCCTTTAACTGCAATTTAACCAGTCTCCGTGGTGTAGTGGTAAGACACTCGCCTGGCGTTCCGCGAGCGCTTTGTCATGGGTTCGTATCCTGGCCGGGGAGGATTTACTGGGTGCAAATCCTTAACTGTAGCCTCTGTTTAACTCAACAGTAAAATGGGTAGTTGGCGGTAAAAATGATTTTTTGCGGCGGGGATTCTATTCCAGGGACCTGCCCGAAACGCTACACGTACTAGTGGCTGTACAAGAATGTAACAACTCTTGTATATATATAAAAAAAAAAAAAAAAATTGTTGTTAATGAATTTACAGAATAAGCCTGTTTTACATTTGTCCACTATCCCTTCTCAAAATTTCTTTCTGCTTCTCTTCTCACTTCCATGTACATAATTGTTTCTGGCTTCTTTGTATTGCTGGTATGTTTGAAGGTTTGGCCTTTTCCTACATCGATTCCATTTTTTTATTTTTTGTTACCTGGCCCTCTCGCAATTCTTGTTGCCCTAATCCTGTTTTCAAGTCCTGCATTTCTGTTTTGGTATAAAAAAAATTTGTGCCTCTACCAAGTCTCTCAAAACTTGGAAAACATCTCATTTACTTCCAAGCCTAACAATAAGTCTTTCCAGTCAAATTCATTAACCACTGCACTGTGCAGAGCGCTAGATTGGTTAAGTATAGTGTACTGTATCAGTGTATCAATGTTAAGTATATGTACTGTACATCAGGTATAGTGTAGCATTCAAAACTCCCACGGCTACATGGGGTTCACATCGGCTCTTGTAAACAGGACTCTCGTAAACAGACGCCATTTTTTTTTTTTTAATTATGGGCAACATTCCCGGGTGTGAGAGCCTCAGTACTGAGTGAGCCACCAAGGCTGGTACACGCAGCATGAGCTAACAGTAATGCTGTTCAGCTTGTGACCACAGCATCGCCTAAAATGTCAAAATATATATGTACTGTAACTAATATTATTTAGCCATGATGGTATTATAGAAGAGCCTGACTGTGATAAAGACTGTCTACAATGTTCATATATCAGTGAATCAATGCTGTTCAAGATGTTCACAGTGCTAGCCACAGCACTGTCATTATTTCATCCAATCTGAGAATCTTCAAACAACCTCTCATATTCCTTTACAAAATAAACTTGTGGAAAATTATTCATTTATAGGATTTAGTGACCAGGATTCTGATAATAGCAGGATAGTGGTGAGAATTAGTGATGTACATAGTATGGTGGGAGGAGTATTCTTGGTGAGGGAGGGAGAGGTAGCGTCATCTACTGGCTGCTGTGTGACTTGACATGCAGTGGATGGTGGCCACTATGCTGATTGGACACCATACCAGCTTAGTTATAGTTATGGTGAATAAAACAAGTAGATACTTATATATAACATGTGTAAATAGTATAATAAAAACGATAACTGTATGGTGGGAGGAGAAATGTTGGCGAGTGGGTGTTGAGGTGTATCTCCTAGCTGCTGTGTCGTGGCCAGTCTTCTTGTTTTGACTCACCATACCAACTTAGTGGTTAGTTATGGTGAACACATATGTAAATAGTTATGGTGAACACATATGTAAATAGGTACAGTATATACAATGTGTGTATACACATTGTATATATTGTACAGTATACAATGTATGTATACACATTGTATGTATTGTACAGTGTATATATACTATACAGTGTAATAATAACAAAAACACTGATTAATTGTAGAATGTAATATGTCACATACATGAGCCCCATAATTTTGAGCATAGTGGTGTTCAACACATTGAACTATATACATTCCACAAATTACACACTTGAATAATATTACAGCAAAAAAAAAAAAATTAAAATAATTGTCAAACATTATATTCCAGACACCTGTCGCCCCACAGGGTGGAGGGGTCGAGTGACCCCAAGCGCTCCATAGCTCGGTGCCCATCAATGTGCCCCAAGTGCCCAGGTCCATCAAGGCTAAAGTATGTCACATGCAATATTTTTCTTCAGTTCCCATGATCCGAGATTGCATTTTAACAATATAAGATAAAATAATTTTTTGCAAAGAATTAATTTTTGGCACACAACTGGAATGTCATATTTTAATGCAGAGCAGTGCAGTCTATTATGTAGGAAGTACCGCACGTCTATGGGTCATCCAATAAGGTTAGCAGACTTCTAGATGTTACCACTGCTACGCTTAGGCTCGGCTACAAGTACCTCTGGGAATTTGTAAAATCTGCTGATGTAGATTTAACTAAATGTAAACTCTTGTCAGCAGAACTATTCGCATACTTTGCGTCATTATATAATGGAATGTGAAAAAATTGCGGAATTTAGAGATAACACCATCAATAGTGTCCAAGAAATGTGTAAGTACTTCATTCATAATGATGTGCTGCCCAAAATCTTAGCAAAGTATCCAAAATTGTCTTACTATAGGTAATGCCTGCACATGACTATAAAGCTGCCACCCAGTTGGGTGTTGGGTGGGTGTGCAGCAAGACTAGTAACTGTGTGTCTCACCATAGATGTAAAGTGCCCAGTATAGTGACTTGTGAGCCTCTTGTTGATCACTTGTGACACAAAAGATTATTGATGTGTGTATTTGTGTGGGTGATTAAATATGTATATGTATGTATATATGTATGTATATATGTATACGTATATATATGTACATGTATGTATGAGTATGTATACATGTATATACAGTATAACAATAATTTTGTAACTAGTGTCAAAAGATTGTTATTTGCTTAGTTAAACGAACTAGAGGGTTCAGTTCCTGAACCAATTATGTGCCTCTGTAATCCTTTACACCACCGCCTACGTGATGGGTATGGGGTGCATAATAAAGAAATTGATTGCAGTGCAGTGGTTAAAGAACTTGCTAAGTTCTCCATAGTATCCTTTCCTGAGATCAAGTTTTTCAAGTGCTTTTTCTCCTTCCCTTCTAGATTATGACACACTGCATATTTTATTTCCAAAAGGATATTATCGCTCTTACCCCAAGGGAGGACGGTAATGAATATTAAATATCTTTCATACCTGGTGAATATCAAATCCAGCATCAACAGAACATCCCCTTCCCTCATTCTCATGGCCTGTAACTTGCTTGAACATGATTATCTCCAGGAAGACTTTATTAATCTGCCACTTCAAATATCTTTCATTCTTGCTTCACAGATTTCCCTGTTAATTGATTTCAAGTTTAAGTCTACCAACAATTATGATTTATCTTTATCTTGCTCTTATTGCAATCTCTCATGAACATTATGAGGCCCTTTCATTTGTTGTCCAGCTCCTCCTTTGCCAGTGTCACTTGCTTGTGGGCTGAAGGCATTTTCATAATTATCAATTTATCCTCCTCACTACAAATCACTTGAGCCATCATGTCAACTTCTCATGGTTTGGCTATTATTAATTCTCTTGCCGTCAGGTGTTCTTTCACTAGAACAGCAACTACTCCACCTTTTCTAATTTTTCTATCTCGTCTCTAAATTGAGTAGCATTAGGGCTGTATTCCTCGGGAATACAACCTCAATTAAAATATAAAGTTTCACCTTTGTTAGTACATCAATCTCTGGTATCTTTAGCTGAATTACATTATTTAGCTCTGTAAGGAAGGGAGGGACCTTTGTATGGAATATGTGAAATAATGGATGGTGGTAGAAAAAGCCACTTTCCAAACCCCCGCTACATCGGGGGAGAATGAACCTCTCTAAAAAGAGATAAACAAGTACCTAATATTGATGAAAGGGACTTTTCCAGGTAGATTCTGTAAGTGGAAAGCATGTTGGAAATATTATATATGGGAAAACCAGTTTACATAATAAGAAATGAAGGAAAAAGATGGGGAACCAGGAAACATTGGAATGCTAATGGGAAGTGAGTGTAAACATGGGTCAATGCTTAGTCACTTCTCTCTAGGCAGATACAGTTCAGATGCTCATCCCACCCGTTAGGTCAAATCGGATGGTCATCCCACGTGGTAACTAGTGCAGTGATATATTTACATTAATTGTGGTGCTATTGTATAGTGATAAACTTGTTTGGTGTTCTGGGCCACATGGCTTGTTAAAGGTTAAGCTACACTGCAAAATTCCTAGTGTACAGTAAATATAACTGTGAAGTAAGTAATTAATTATCAAAAGAAGGCGCACACCGGGAAGGCTATGTAGCACCAACAAATGTGCGGAATAATCAGAGGGCGCTAAATATCACCAAGGATGCACCAAAAAATGTGCGGAATAATCAGAGGGCGCTAAATATCACCAAGGATGCACCAACAAATGTACGGAATAATCAGAGGGCGCTAAATATCACCAAGGATGCACCAACAAATGTGCGGAATAATCAGAGGGCGCTAAATATCACCAAGGATGCACCAACAAATGTGCGGAATAATCAGAGGGCGCTAAATATCACCAAGGATGCCAATACGAGAACAGAAATGGATAAGGCTAATGATATCAGAAGAGATAGCTGTGAACTAGAGCCATTGAAAAACACTTCAAGTGTACTGTACCAAATTAATCCCTGTGCTTTAAAGATTTTGATGTTTTGCTTTTATGTACCACTTAATAGGCTTCCCGATCCCTATTACCACATAAAAAAAAAATATTTCTTCATCATATCCTACCCTTCTGGGGGCCTGACAGCTGAGTGGACAGCGCTACGAATTCATAGTCCTGATTTTTGGGTTTTCGGGTTCCGGGTTTAATCCCCGGTGGAGGCGGAAACAAATGGTCAGTTTTTCTCACCCTGATGCCCCTGTTACCTAGCAGTAAATAGGTACCTGGGAGTTAGGCAGCTGCTACAGGATGCTTCCATGGGAGGGGGTGTAACAAAAAGGAGGCCTGGTCAAGGACTGGGCCGCGGGGACACTAAGCCCCAAAATCATCTCAAGATAATCTCAAGATGACCCTCATTCAGATGTTTTGCTCCAGCAAGGTTTAGTTTTAAGTTTTCCCCTCTTTTTCATCATTAATTTAATGAGGTGAGAATAGCTTGAGCTACCTCATCCCTTTGTGTGTATTTTACCTCAAATAAACTTATTTCAATTTCAATCATTAATTTCCTGGTGTTCCTAAGCACTTCTGTCATTTGTTTAATTCCAATAAATGTCATCCTTAGGGGGAGATTCTTACCTTTCACGTATCTGCATCTTTTCCTAAAATCACTGGTATTTTCCTATAATGTGAGGCCTCCTAAACCTCCTATTTCCTCAAATAGGATTTGAGAAAATTGAGATATATTACATCTGAGATATATTACAGCACAGTATACTGTATTATATTGCAAACATGTTGAAGCCGAGGTTGCCGAGGCATAGCCAGCCCTAGAGCAGTGACCCTGATGACTATGAAAACCATATTTGGCTTATTTGGCTCTCTTTTTTTTCAGGCAGATGTAGTCCATTAACTGTACAAATGCACTATGATGTATTATAGGTAATAAATTGTACCCCAAAATCAGACCCACATTCCCAGTCTCCAGACACTAAAACCAGAAGAAAATGTATATATGCTGATTAGCATTGTAAATGTGTGGCCATGTCTGTGGTAGAAAATAATAATAAAATAATAAAAAACTAAAACCTGTTTTCCTGCTTGATGGGAGTTCTGTTCTACTCCCCTGTTTACTGGATTGTTTACCAGATTTGTCCAGAAGACCTTGATATATAATTGCAACACGAAGTGACCTGACACCGACTCGTATAAATGAATAGTGCAATATGTTTAGGCTAAAAGATATAGTGTTGAAACACTTATAATGTGGTGATATAGCTACCAACACCACCTGGGTGATTCCTCTCTTGGACCAAGTAAAAATGTTACCTCCCCTTAAATCATATTTTAATAAAATATTGAATCTTAATTGTATTGTTTGTATAGCCTTGATATTTGGTACTATTTATATAGATAAGCTTTTTGCTCAATTCATTCTATAGATTTTCATGTTATTAAACATACATTTTATTCCACTTGGCCTATAACAAGAAAAAAAAAGGCTGAGTTGAAATGAGCAAGGACTGGTGACTTAATGTACAGCCATTTATTAATGTAGCGGAGGGTGTTAAGGGTAATTACAAATGTACGATTATGCCCTTGGCTAAGGTTCAGGACAATAGTTATCACAATGATGGCACCAAGCTGAGAAGATGACTTAATACCATCAAAATTAAGGAAAGTTTCTTTCAACTTACTTAATACAAACTTTTACAGGAAAATACTGAAGTTCACAATCAACTTTTAAAACATGAATTGCATAATGATAATTACAAAAAAAACAATAATATATAAAATATCACTATGATATTAGTACAGCAAGGATAAAACTAACCTGTATTAGAGGGGGCAGATTACAAGCTACAGTTCAATCCCATTCCTGAAAATTAAAGTTTGTCATTAATTAATGAACTTGCAATTATTTCTAAATTTCACTTCACCCACAAACTGACATGAAATGTTATTACCCAACTGTTGAAGCAACTTTCCCCCAGTCCTTACTTCATGTAGAGAAAAAAAAAAGTTTCACTATAATTATTTGACACGAGTGACATCCACGACAGTAACAATGTTAAGTTTGGCTCTCTACGCCAAGGTGACGGCTTGTCACACTGCGTCCTTGTCACCGAGGCGACAAATATCTTAAAGGAGGGTTTTGATATGCCTTAAATGAAGGCCAAGAGGAGGCGTGTTCCACCAGTTCCTCTCTCAGAGCAACACCCCCTCACCTATCACCTGACGGCGGTGTCAAGGGTTGGTCTCCAGGGCCCCGCAGCCTAACCCACCACTCCAAACCGTCATAGCGGAGGGGCGTAGAGGCGAGGGCGGGCCGGGGCGAGACAGACGGTGACAACCGGTGAGGCAGGCAGTAATTTTCAGGCCGTGGCCGTCCCCATTCTCCGAGCGGAAGCCAGCCAGCCCCCGTAACTCATCCCGCCCCGCCTGATAAAAACATACCCATTCCTCCTCACTCCTCTCCTTACTGCTCACTATCCTCACCTTCACGTCATCTGGGCTGACTCTTATTGCGAAATACCTGCAATTCCCACCTTTATTATTTGTTGTTAGTTACTAATAAACAAAGTAATAAATAGTTCTTACCCCCGATCTTCAACCCGCAGTTCCCGTTTTGTTCCAATGATATAAGATTTAGGAATTAATAAATTCAACGAATTTTTCCCGTTATTTGCGATTTAATTCAATCATTTAATGCGAAATTAATCTTAATATTTTATTAGCACCGAATACAAATGGACAGCGTCTAAAATAAAAAGTGAAACAACTTTTCAGAAGAGTTTAAGAACGGCGAGATTCCCGGGGTGCGGCGGCGGCGGCCATAGCGGCGCCATTCCCGTACGTTATTGATTCCATAAAAAGACGCGGCCTCTCAACCCGGCCGTCTCCCCCTCGGCCCGTCTCCCCCCTCCGCGCGCCCGCACTCGGCCTATCTCATTAATATTCATATTCCGATATTCGCCGTAAACCTTTCGTGTCGTGAAGAGCGGCGATTTGGGGGGGTTTCGGGTTCATTTAGTGGCGAGGGATGCCAAGGGCCCGGTGGGAATATTAATTAAAAATGGCTAAGTAAAGGTGGAAATGTCGCACTTCATTGTAGAGACAATATAGACGATAGTGAGTGGAGCCATTGTTTATCTCCCGGGGGTCGATCATGGGTAGCGCCGCTAGCTCCTCCCGCAGGGCCAACCATTGATAAACCTCTTTTGCTACTCAAACAAAGCTCTCTCTCTCTCTCTCTCTTTTTCGTTAGAACATGTGCGAAATAGGTGTTATTAAGACGTACTAAAAAATCACATTGATCTCAATTCATTAAACAATGTAAATAAAAGTAGTACATGTCAGCCAACATAATTATTCTCCTTGCGCCAAGGTCATTCAATTGCTATAACATACTCACTTATAATTGCACTTCATTTTCCTATCTTGAAACTCTTACTAAATCTAACACGGCAACTTCACGTCAGTAACCTACACCCTGTTAAAGGTTAAACTTGTGCATTTAATGGTACCTGTTGTTCTTTGTATAATAGTATGATGAAGGTATAGAGAAAATGGTTGGGCCGGCAGGTGTGCCGGCCGGCTACCTAACCGTATTGTTAACTTGTCAGCCTGACTACCAATAGCAATAATAATAATAATTTATTATTATTATTATTATTATTATTATTATTATTATTATTATTATTATTATTATTATATGCGTAAGAATGTACGTACATAGAACAAGACTGGCACTTGGGTGCCATTGTTATCTCATAAAACAGCCACAAACTATACGTCATTCTGCTCGCACGTATTCACAGGAGTGCACACAAGGTATAAGAATATGCATACTGTTGTTTAAGATTCAGCTACTGGGAACAAAACGTTCCAAGTAGCACGGACTATGGTGAGTCCGTAGTGGACTTACCTGACACATGAGAGGGGCTGTGAATATTCATACGCAAACGCAAGTTCAAGTTCAAGTATGTTTATTGAGATAAGAAAGAAATACATCTCAAAGGGATAGAGTAGCTTAGGCTATTTCTACCCCCCATGGGTCTGGAGGTGCCGGGGATCGAACCCGGGGCCTTTCACACGCAAAGGGAAGGCCCCGGGTTCGATTCCCCGGGAAACGTATACTTATATAAGCAAAATATGTACACTTATACGCACTACGTCAGACTATTGATGATGCAGCATTTATTGTATACGCCTTATATAAGGAAAACGGAAGGTATAACAAGAAACCTTATACAGAGGAGCATTTGAGAGCAGGAAATTCGTCATGAAGCACAATTAAGTGTTTAGATATGACATATCCTGACAGAGCTATAGGTCAAGCTGAACAGACGAATTAGCAGAATGATGTTAAACTTAAGAATATAAAAATATAAAAAGCTGTACAAGGCCTATTTATTGGTCCATGCAAGACAACTCTAATTTATATCAACCCAAACTAGTGAACCCCCATTTGGACTATCGTATCCACATGGTAGAATCAGTACATTCTATTCAGTAGAATCCACAGGAATCCCAGGTTACATAACTTATAACAAGTCGTGGTGGTCCTCACGGGAGACATCTCCCGTCACGCAGGGTGCAGTCGCACCTCCACAGATCTCCAGTATCAGCTCTTGATACTGGTAATGGCTCAAAAGGGCCACCACTTACAGGCTATTCATGCCCGTGCCACCTTTTGGGTGGCTTAATCTTCATCAATCAATCAATCGTGGTGGTACAGTGGTGAACGACTGGGAGTTTCTTGATGTCCGGTTCGAGTCACCTCTGAGTTCAGGTTGATTTTCTCATTGATATATATGACGTTAGTGTAATTTCTTTGTGTGATAATAATAATGATGATGATTCTCAGAAGATTCTCACTTTCAGAAGAACATAGCTGCTCTGGTGAAAGTGCAACACCGGGGCAACAAAAGTCATTCTAGAGCTAAATCGTCTTTTGTACCAGGAACGGTTGAGGGCCACAGGATTAACAACACTGCAAACCAGGCATGACAGGGCATATCTCATTGAAACTTGTAAAATACTGAACAAGTTGGAGGATGTTGATCCTGACAATTTCTTCAAAAGGTCCTATGTAACACAAACAAGGAGCAACGGTTTCAGGCTCAATAAACCTCAATGTAGGACAGAGAACAGATGATTATTCATTCACAGGGGTTATAAACCCATGGAACCGCCTAACTGCCGAAGCCGTAAATGCCAAAACTGTGTTAGGTTTTAAAATCTACCTGAAAAAATCAAGGCAAATTAATGAGGGGACCTTCGACAAGCCGTCGGCTTCCTGTCCTCGTCGAGGCACAAGTGTTAGTGGCTTTCGAGTAAACTCGGACCAGCGACCCGTCCAGCGATTGGGTATTGAGAAATGATTGAGTGTGTAAAAGCCTGAATAAGGAATGCCTTTTTTGGAAATGGGACAAGTGTAGACAGCCTTCCTAGCAGCAGTGTCCACAAATTCATTTAAGGTAATACCAATATAGCTGGGAACCCAGCAAAACTCAACTCTCCTTAACATGCTGGAGATAAGAAAGAGCCAGTGTTGAATTTCGACTACCATACGATGCACAAAGTTAAATGACTCCAGAGCCATGAGGGCACTGTGCCGCAGTGCCTTCATGGGTCGTCTCAGGAGGCTGGCGGCATATATAGGTTTGGTCAGGTGATTGGTTGATTGATGAAGATTAAGCCACCCAAAAGGTGGCACGGGCATGAATAGCCCGTAAGTGGTGGCCCTTTGGAGCCATTGCCAGTATCATTAGCTGATACTGGAGATCTGTGGAGGTGCGACTGCACCCTACGGAGAGGTCGTGACCTCTGTGGTTTGGTCAGGAAAGATAACGGAATAGCCAACACCGTCGGCAGACTTAGACCCATCTGTGAAGAGGGCAATGGAACATGAATACAAAGAAAAGTGTTCAAAAGAAAAGGCGTTTCATAACCGTAGGAGGGGTAGAAGCCTTTACCATGTGGGTCAAGGACTTGCAAAACTTTGCAAGTGGGACCCGTCATGGGGAAAACGATGGAATGACATAAGAAGAGATATTGCTAAAATGAACTGAAAAGGAATCTTGCAAGTGAGACATCCATAAGGAAATGGTTAGGTGGTGAAAGGAAAGAGGACCCAGAGGGTCCACATGAGGGGTAACAGTCAACGCACGGCATAAGCGAGTGAGGAGGCTGCAGGGACCTCGAAAGGTAGCGAAGGCGGTAGCAATCACGATGATCCTGTATGACAGGACTCCTGTTTCAGCATACAGGGTCAGGAAAGGGGATGAACGAAAGGCACCGGAGCTGAGGCATAACCCAGTATGGCGCAAAGCATCAAGATTACAGTAGTTCAAGGAGAGGCGGATGAGAAGGCGAGACAGCGATAATTAGTCTCAACAGTACAATTAGTCTCAACAGTACGAGAGGAGTGTGCATCTATCAACTCCCAGGGAAGTATAGGACAAGGAGGTAAGATACATGAGGTAACTAAGACAAACGGGAGTCAAAGATCAACAGCAACAGTTTAGCTGAATCTTTATACAGAAGGGGACTAACATAGAGCGACAATGGTGGACAAAGAATGACCTTTCCAGTATAAAAGTCATAGGCCAAGCCTTACTTGTAGAGAACTTGAAGCTATGATTGTTGGCCCAGAACGACAATGAATCAATTCAAAGTTGAAGCTATCATTGGAGGAAAGGAGAGATCATCAACATAAGAGGACCGAAAAAATATCAGGAGAGAGAGAGGAAGGAACACAGTTTAGGACAAGTAGGAAAATAATGCTACCTTGGGGAACACCTTCATATAGTCGAAAGGAGTCTGAGAAAGTGACAGTACCAAGCCTCACTTTAAACGAACAACTAGAAAGGAAACTTTGAAGGAAGAGTGGGAGGTCCCAAGTAGGCCAAACAAACTCTTGCAAATAATGTGACTCAATACTTTGGAGCAATCTCAGCAAGATACTTTTAGGGAGCCACCAGGACTCTGTAACGTTTGTTACATTCAAGGCAGTTTTATTCTTTTAAAATATAAATACATTTGCTATGATAATAGAACTAAGGCTGGTGAACAATATAGTCTAACTGAAATCTTACGTAAGCTAAGTATATAATTTTATCTATTTTAATATTTGACCAATACTGAGGACTGTACCTTATTATAGTTCTGAGAACATTAAAGAATAGGACTTAAGATTCCAAGGTATATAAAAAGAGGATTTTTTTTACAGAGAAATTCCTCTGTGGGCTCTAGGCCTCTAACTGGCCCATTAGGTGTTGCTTGTTTCTGTTTTACTTAGGCAGAGTGTGAGTATTTATGACTTGTATGGTTGCTTCATTAAGATTTTGCTCAATGTGGTTTAATAACTTCTTCTGCTCCATTGAATCTAAGTTGAAACCTTATTGGGTTTGTAACTGTGCACTGTATTAGATAATATTCCAGTGGTCTGTCAGGCATTTCTCCAGTGCTGACATTTCCTCTCACCTTCTGGAACCTGTAAGCCTATTTCCCATGCACATGGGTATCCAAGCCTGATGCGATGTGAGAGGAGACAGCCGATAGGCATATATGTTATTTTTTTTTTTATCCACTTTTGCAATTATCTGTTGAGCACCTTAATTCTTTCAGTGCAATTACAATTTAAGATAGTTTGCATCTTACCGTGGGTTTTGGTATGAACAAGTAATGTTTTTCGGACTTGAGATTTCTGTAAACCATTGTAAGTACAGTATAGTAAATAACATTGTACTTAAAATTTCACTTTGAATAGTGCCTTTTGCCTTTAGTCTTAACATTTGTAGTCTTGAAACAGCACAGACTCACTAGAGGTCTTTTGGTTGCTAAAATAATCTTCTATCCATTGTAACAATTGAGAACCTATACCCATTCAAGATAACTTCTCTGTTAGCCATATCAAAGGCATATTTTCAGTTAAGATATTTATCATGTTTGTGCTTTCTATCACCATTGGAAGCAAAAAAGGTTTTGCCTTTCTTGCTTCTTTTTTTTTGCAAGAAAGGTTGGAAGGTTTTAGTTGCATACACTTTTATCATGTGTGAAATCATTGATATTAAATAACAAATATTCTTTAATTCAATGAAATAATCTATTGAACACCATTTTCATGAATGTTTTACACATGCTAATGGATTTTAGTGGATGAAAACCATTCAGGCTGGTCAGTGTTTGGTATCGTTGGTACAGAAAGACAAAGTTCATGAGACAAGCAGCTGCCCAGTTACATAACTGCATCAAAACAATTAAAGTACTGTAGTGAAGTGCTGGATGCATGATGCAGTTGAATGAATGTCGGAGGGAATACTGTCATCACCACTGGAGTGTTTCAGTCTAGACCTCCAATGCTTTCTCTGTTCTCTGCTGTGGAGAATAAGTGCCTTAATAAAGTTGCAGTTCACCTGAAAGAAAAGATAACAAAAAAGCTCCAACAAAAAGAAGTGTCTTGGTTGTCAAAAATTCACAGGTCAGATACATTGCCAGGGCTTTCTGAGCTGGGGATTAGGAAAACAGGTTAAGGGTTTGCTAACCTGGAGTGGGAATTGAGGGATATTGTTAGCAAAGTCAGTAATGTTATGAATGCTAATGAAAAGTAACTCATTACAGTATTTGTATTAGTACCAGAGGAAATGTGGTAGAAAGATTGAGGAGTGAGGCACTAATACAAATGCATAAGACTGCCATTGAATGAGTTAGGAGCAGGGGGAAGGATCATGATTATATGTGGCATTCCTTCAATTAAGGGAGAAGGAAATGAATGGATGTCCAACACAATTAAGTTAATTGCCAAATAGACAAATATTGGCAAGCCAATGAAATATCATTCACCGATAACCGGGAACACTTTTATGGAAGGAATGGCATGCATGCATGCTTGGGATGGGGATGTTGCTTTTTGCCTCATTGCTGGGATATGTAGTCGGTAGGGTTTGTCAGAGTCTATGTCGTTAGATGAGAGAGGTATGGGAATGTATTTGGGGAAAGAGTCCTCCCTCAAAAATTTGAGGGGAAAACCCTGATCCAGATCAACATAAAATGATAACTACACTTTAGGGTTAATAACTTCAGCACGTCTTATACAGGTATTTATTATAGCACTTACATAATAGAGTACTTTAACTGTAATAGAATTTAATCAAGAACTCTCACCATTTTTCAAAACATTCTTCTGAGGAAAAGATAACCTTTGTCAAATCCTTATTCAACCACCATGAGCAGTACTTGGAGGATTTATTGGTGCAAAAATTGTGACTGCACTCGGCTTTGCCTTAATCCTCATTGGCCGAACTTCAAAGGTTTCACTGTCAATGTTCAGTTCTCGATCAATACCCTGTAAGTAGTAAAAAAATTACCCTGTATATTAATATCTAACATATACAGTACATGATACAGGTACTATAGTTTTCTTAGATTAAAAATTAATAAAAATTTTTACATTTGTCTTTTTATAGATCCAATATGCAGTACAATACTGTACTGTAATTTTTAAATATAAGTACATAATTATCAAAAGGGACCAAGCTGGGAAAACTATACAGAGTATTAAGTTCACTAACGAACCCAGTTCTATCAAATTCCTGGATGGTCAGTACAAATTGTTCCGTGGAAAATACAAATGTTTAGTTAATCATGGTACTGTGCTAAGAAAACTTGTTTGCAGATATAGTGAACAATTCAAACACCCATAAATATGCAGGCTCACATTCTGTTCCTCAGGCCTACAGTAAACAGATGCCATCTTGAAAAAAATTGTCTGCATTCCTTCTGACAGAGCAACCAACGGTAGTCCATGTAGGAGCTCGGAGCACGCCATGCAACTATGGGTCACATCACCATTTAATGATGAATAAAATAAGTACAGGGGTACCTCGGTTTAAGAGTTTAATCCATTCCTGGAGACGGCTCGTAACTCGAAAACTCGTAAACCGAAGCTAATTTTCCCATCAGAAATAATGGGAAAGGAATTAATCCGTTCCTGACTACCCAACAACCTCACTTCAAACTAAATTTTATACCTAATTCATCAAAATATACAGTACAAAACTATGTTTAAGTTATTACTAACCCTTGCTGATGACTGCTGTTGGAATATAGAAGATGGTGAGGAGGGGGGAGAAGGGGAGAGGTTACTGATTGGAAGGGGAGTCCTCCCATTATAACATCAGGCAGTGAGGACTTCTCTGGTGTGCACTCTCTGGCACGTTTTGCCTGCATACCACTAGGACCTGCTTGTGGCTCACTGCTTGCATGTCTTACTAAGAAGCTGTCTAAAGACACTCGTTTTTCCCTACAATTTAACACTTGTCTGTAGTAAGACATCACATTGTCATTTAAAAGGTCAATGCAATGGCCTGCTACAGCTTTATCTGAGTGAGTTTTTTCAACAAAACTTTGCAGTTCTTCTCATACTTAACACACTTTCTTAATGAGGAAGGGACATCCTTTACTCACAACTATTTTCTTAGGTTGAACCTTACCACTGGCTTTCTTGGGACCCATTGCGAGATATATAATAACTTTTATGTTCAAATGGCCAAATATCCAACAAAATACTGTAAATCCTGGTGAAGAATTGAGGCGGGATAGTCACTGGGCGCGAGGCACCAGTAAACTGAGCGATGATCGCCATGCCACCACGCACTAGTTCGCCCGTACACGTATCAACACTCTCGTATCCTGAGGCAACCCTCGTATCCCGATACAAATTTTCCGAGCAAATCTTGCTCGTAACTCGAAAAACTCGTAACTAGGGGCGCTTGTAAGCCGAGGTACCACTGTACAGGTATCTGATTATTTTGCTATGATAGTGTCATATATGCAGACGATGATTCACAATAACGTAGCTGAAGATATGATGACCAAACCACACACTAGAAGAGAAGAGACGACGACGCTTCAGTTCGTTCTGGACCATTATTAAGTCAACTGTGATCGACTTGATAATTACTGGGGCTAGCATCTCCGAGTGGTTACTCACTTGGCACCCATAAATTGCTCAAATTCTCTGCTCCATCACAGTTACAGTATTTCACATACAATTTTTTTTTTACTTTCCCATGAATTACAGGATCATTCCCGTAAAATGATTACACATTTTAACTATCAGAATGGAAAAACAAATTTCTCGCACATCACAGGAGGGTTTCACGTAAAGGCTGTGCAGTACCATGGTTAAGGCTTAGTTTCACCAGAGTGCAAGTTGAAAAAGGCTTCTCCGAAATAGGCAAATAATTCCTGCACTTAATTTGTTTTTTAACTCTAGGTGAATGAGTTGGGAATTACCAAAAAGCTAAAGGTGAATGGGAAATAGTGGGGACTGTATCATTGCTAAAGACTGAATCCATAATAATGGTACATGTGCATGCAGGGACTCTGGGTAAAGAATGGCTACCAATTTTTTTTATCTTAACCTTTGACTGTTTGGGTGATGATTGCCTACATGTCATTGATCTTACCTTTGACCTTATATAATCAAGATAATGTGGTTGTGGTTCCCCACTAACAATAAAATATTATGAATTAAATAATTAGACAAACAAGTTTGAGAATCACAGGCAGTAATCTAAGTTGCCTCAGTCATTCATACAGTATGGAATCGAGAACACAGCAATACCTTATTCGCCGAATTCTTTTCTTTTAATATAATCGCTCTGGCTGAAACTACTTTTACAGACTGTATCCATAATTCTTACCTTTTTTGTTTTTGTTTCTCCTGTTGGTCTCAATGTTATTTCACCAACAATAGTTTCCGAGGCATAATTTTTTACTTTATTCCATTCTCTGCTCCAACCTTCTTTTATAAATTCGAAAGTTCCGATGTCGACAGGACCTGAGGATAGGCATACATAGCAATAATGGAATTATCAATACTTAGTGTTATGTGACAGACATTTCAAGTGCTACTGTACCTATTTGGGCAAGGTCTTGGTTTATTTGTTCCCAGTTAATCTGTTTGTTATTAAAACTGAATTTGCTGAATTCTCCTACTCTTGGATTTGAAACTGGCTGTACAGGTCTATTGCCCATGCTTGTCTGAACTTCAATTAAGTTGTGATTTCAGTAACATGTATTTGTAATAATTACGTCCCTAATCAGTTTATAATGTTTATAAAAATAATATCTAGACTTTTTTTTTCTAGTTGGTTCTACTATCTGGTTGAAGGCAAACCTGTCACACATCTAAGAGGTCATTTGTGAGTGACTGTTTATATAGACTGCTTCCTGGGATTCTCTCTGGAGCAACTGCATTTGCCACATTTTTTTCATTTTAGGTGTCATAAATTGAAGTCAACAAGCAACATGATGTTTGGGTGGCATGTTTGTGAAGTTTTTTTACACAGTATTCTATTTTTGTATGTTGGTCTTTAAACTACTGAGGACTTGCATCTGGTGATTTATATATACAAGGACAACCAATACATTTAAATTTCTATTTTGATTGTATGTACAACTAACATTATAGCTTTTATGTCCAAAATATATATTATCTGAAAATCTGTTTTCAGTTTGACTCTGCAGTATATGTAAACTGGAGAACATTACCTGTTTTCAGTGCCACCGCATAGCTAGGAACTTCCAAGGATTGTGGTGTGTTTTTAGTCGACAAACAAACATCACAGATATTGGTGATGGTTGTCTTGTGCATTACTCCACATTCTTCATTAATTATAGTACTGTAGTCTATTTTTTCTTCATCTATAAGAAACAGGAGAAAAGTATTTTAGTAAATCTGTCAGTTTGATCTCTGAAAGGATAAGATTCTTTAAGTCTACACGTATTCCTTTTCCTAGCTGTATATTTTGTAATACTTTCTACACTCATTACTCCAGATCATATGATCCCCCCCCCCCCCCACCTCCTGTTTCCCCTACAAGGTAGCCAGGCATCTGGATTAGCAGCAATTCTAACCAGGAAAGTCCAAAATAAACATATTTGTCATTTTTTGTCCATAAATATAATTTGTATTCACACATGCAATAAACACAAATTTACATGGTTAGGGAAAGATCTTCATATACTGTACAGTACATATAGTAAAGACCTAATTTTACCTATCCTAAATAACTCCACACCTAATGATATGCAGTTTGAATTTTGGACTTGCTTATCTCATTCCATGTTTATGTTTCCCCCCAATATCAGGAAGGAGGAGTAGCAATACAATAGCATGTGATCTCATCATTATTTACCATTAATACTAGTCATTTTTAAATACCCTTTCAACAGGTTCACAATAACTTTTTCCTTGTACTAATGTACTCTCTTTTACTTCTCCCAATGCTATTATCTTGAATTTATATACTACTGATCCCACATACTGAAACTGACAGCTAATATATGAGAAGTATCAAATAGGGATCATGCATTCAAAAATGCTTGTATGTTTACCTGATTTACTTCCTAATACCAATTTTGGCTTTGGAATATATGCCATCCACCATCTTCGAGGAGTTTCAGGTGTATTGTCTTTTTTTGTATTTTGTGGGCCAGTATCAGCATGGCATCGGGAGCAACCACTGCAAGGAGCAGAATATTCCACCTGTGCTGAGCAGTCCCATGTGATATCTGAAAATCAAATATTTAATCTAATACAGTTAACTGCTCTACTGTATACTTATTAGTATCAGGTTAAATATAAATATAGGAATTCTTACTCAAAACAAAACAAAAATGATTTGGTAAATCCACTTAACTATTCAGTACTATTTGCAAAGATTGTATGGCTTATTTCCACTTTGATAGCAACAAGCTTCTCACTCACTCACTCACTCACTCTGGCCACATCACAATGAACAACATATAATACTGCACAAAGTGTCAGTAATACCTTATATTTTACAGTATTATAAACACAATTAAAATTTGTTGTGATAACACTTAGTTCTAGAGCACATCTCATTTTTCCCATAATATCTTTAACTCGTATATTATGCAGGCTGCTTTAATGTTATATGTCTTGGAATGCATTACACTACATTCATCACTTCTTGGCTTTGTACTTGGTAGTGCATTATTGTGCTGTGCTTGAGGTATGTATAGCCAGTTACTTAAGGCAGAGACCCAGTAAGAACACTCCTCACAGGACTCAGGGTCATGAACATCACCAACCCAACAAGCAGAATGGTGAGGACAGAAATAATTATTATTGTCAAGTAGCAAAGACGATGAACACCACTCAGACTGGCAAATAGTGAGACCAGGCTTGCCAGGTTGCTCCATAAGGATCATAATGGAGACAAAAGGGAATTCTTACGGCCTGAAGGAAAATCAAGCGGGTACCCCCCAGGCACTGGGGCTGTTTGCTGGAGGAAGACACCACCCATGCCTAACTACCAGGATACGGAAGGTAACCGCGGTGTACCATGTAAATAAGTGTGAGAACCCCCAGTACAACTCAACACAACCAAAGAACACCCCCAACCAAGGGGCCCACCAGAGGAATCAAGATCCCCTGAACAATCCAAGGCAAGGCCCCTAACCCGGTGGGCTGGCCTCACAGGAATGAACACCCGAACACACCAGAGAAAGGAAACTCTGGCTGTGCATGGGCAGCATTAGCAGGCACACAGGGAAGAAAACCTTGAATGCATGCAGCCCAAAACACCCAAAAACTCAAGCACACAAGCCAGAATCAAAACATGCATATGAAGCTATACTAAAATAGGAAACAATACAATAAAGCAAATGGCCTCCCACAAGATAAGCAAGTCCAAGGATGTCCAAGACTTCGCTTAAATCTTTGAGGCAAGCCCACGAGATGGCATGATCAGAAGCATTTTTTTTTTTTATCAGAAGCATTACTAGCTTTCGTGGTGACAAATATCAGGAACAGAACTGACTTGGGGAGCTGGGTGGGAGCTAGATGCCAGGCTGCTTGATAAGTGGTAATCAGTACCAAAGAGTTTTGAGCTTGTTTGAGTGAATCTCTTGGTCTGTGTGACTTGTTTGCGATAGTTGTTTGCCGGTTTTTGAGCCTTCGTTTTCTGTGAATCCTCCCTCCACAACTTTAACCCCTGCACCTGTTTGATGTGACAACTTTGTGGTGCAACTGTTAATGAATTAATAACATTACCTGATAACTTTTAAAAACCAGAAAATGTCATAATAGCCAAATTTAAAAATTTTCATGTCAAATCACAAAGCATTAAAACTATTATAAACATTAAAATATAGTACATACTGCTAAATTCAAACATTTTTTGCACTGATCATCGAGCGCTTTAAGGCGCTAAGTTCCAAATTTGCACGGTAGAATAATAACATATGATAGGTACGGAAGGAAATGCAGAATAGAACTAATGAGAGGTAGAGGTGCCAAAGGCACAATCAGAGAGCACTGTCTGAACCTCAGAGGTCTATGAATGTTCAAAACCTTACCAGCAAGCATTAGAAATAATGCCGGAACGAAGGTGGATGTATTAAAGAGGCACTTGAACAGGTTCTTGCAAAAAGTGCCGGACCAACCAGACTGTAGTGGATATGTGGACAAATGGGCCGCTCCAAGCAACAGCCTGTTGGACCAAGTTATCACAAGTCGGGCCTGGCTTCAGGCTGGGCTCGGGGCATAGAACTCCTAAAACCCTCTCTAGGTATGCTATATGCAGTGCAATGGTTAAGGCCAAATTCAACAAAATATTCAGATGTCAGAATAGTTAAGCTGTGATACAACAGGTACAACAAGTATAGTAGGTGAGGCATAAAGAGCTAGACCTCACTTCCACATAGTCAATGATAGATAGGTGAGCACAGGGTATGGCTGGTTGCTTCCTCACCTGTTAGTTAGGACTAATGTATTAGCAAAACTTTTGTAACTATTCCTATTTAGTGAGTGATGTGCATGGCTAACCAGAACCTCAAAAGATTTGGGCTGCCATATAGTAACAGCCACTATATTCAGTACATCACAGTTATAAGTAGTTTCCCCACAGCAATGATCATTTTCCTTGTTTACATTAGGGTTGCTATTTTCCTTCAACCTTATTTTGAAGGCTGAAGGGAAATAGTAACCTCTCTGGTGGTTTTTCTTGGTTTTAGGTAGACCTTGGATTTCCAGCCTTCCCTTACACCTCATAGTGAGCTAGTTTCTGATCCTGGCTCCTGATGGGTCATGTGGGTCTCAGAGGTGTTGTACATTTCTCCAGACTTGGCTATACAGTGCTTAAATTTGGGTAACTACTAAGGGGCTCCTCCCAGAAAATTTAATACAATAAAGGTAAAATTAATATTCTAAATTAATCATGAAATACTGTATTAAGATCTTATATTTATTAATTACCTTTGTAGCTGGAGAAAACATAGGTCATATATCTTTTTAAAAAAGACCAATACCAGTAGGCCTCCTTTCTATTTGCGGCATCTCTGTATGCTCCCCACTCCACCATGGATGCTGCATAAACTGATTTTGGCATTGGTTCTCCTTCTTGTTCTGGACTCTGACAAATAAATAAATAAAAATTAAACATAAATATGGTATGAATTTCACAGTTGCACATGAAATATGCTAGTTCAGTCTATCCTTCTGTTAAGACAGTACATATATTGACAACAGAAAAACACATGCGGTTGGACCTAGAAAATAAGTGGTGTGCATAGTTAAAATCAAGGTTGCAAATGCTGTCAAAGTAGTTGCTTGTTTTGGTGGACTACCATTTTGGTAGTTTTTTCTTTGGTACTGTGGTGATCTTGCATCTCTAGACTTCCCTATGTCTCTACTGAGGAAGCCAAATTCTGGTCTTGGTCTCCAGCAGGTACTCACAATTCACTAGAGCCTGGTATGGTAAATAACGTTTAAAAAGTTCAAGGTGGGTATCTTTGGGAGCTACCAAGAGACCCAACAATGATGGATATTTAAGGGATCCTATTTTCATCCATGCTTGGATCATCTAGTCATTAGTCCAACTTCAGTACCCCTGTTGTGACCTTGCACCAGTAACTCTTGGTGTCTCAGTTACTAAGGCACGGTAGTCTCAGCTGCTTCACAGAGTGATAAAACTCAAGTGAATCTAGGGTTTTTGCAGAACAAACCACACACATTTATGTCCCATTACCTATCTTGGATTCACTGTCAATGTTGTCAGTTTGGTATTTTCCATCTGTCTTTCTGACGATTGTCTCCAAGTTGGGTTGTGTATGTCTGTTTTATGAGTTAAGGTTCTCCTAGTGGTTCCACTGTGCAGCACAATAAGTGTGGGTTAAATATTCTATATATTTAGTTTTTAGTGGCTATTCTTATCTAAGGAAGCAAATGACCGATATAGCTCAGAAATAAGACAGAATATAGATAAAACGCTCCTTTATGAGCAGGCCATTAGTTTGCTCCCATTTTGTCCAGACTTTCCCTATGCTGTATGGTGCGAGTCAGATGAAATGTGAGGTGGCCGCCTCCTAAATGCTCTGTTGACAATTAGAAAAGCAGTGGTTAGCATCTCTTTGAGAGAGTATTGTTTGGAGTTTTTCTTTGGGTACTGAAGATATACATACAACAGAATCTGGAGATTATTTCGAATTGGATAAAATATTTTTTGTAGCATTTTTCTTCACTCCCTATGATGCATGGGGATGTCTGAAAAAATCTGCTGCACATGGGACTAATTGCCGACCTTGCCTGGCTGTTGTGCAATCCAATCCTTGACAAAAGCAGAACATGGCCTAACAAAACAACCAAAAGGCATGCTCAACAAGAATCTTTTCATATACACTCAAATCTTATTTTTTGCCACACATGGTCAACAACAAATGGAAGTGCTTATCCTGCTCTGTATTCCTGTAGATGCAGACGTGGCATGGAGATGAATTAAATTAAAAATGTAATAATTTATAATACTTTTCCAAACCTTGTAGTAGGTCACGAACCATAGTTAATATTAAAATTTAGGATCCCCATACCTGTAATGGCGTTATTTCCATTACGTCCATTGGTCGCTTGATGTCTTGTACAATTGCCATCGTTGCCTCAGCTAGATGTCGTGGTCCAGGATCTCCCTGAAATCCCCATATAGCTGAAGTGCAAGTGTTAGTGTTGCCAAGAGGTAGAATACCCAGCGGAAATCTTTGAGCAGCTTCATCATGATCAACTCGTCGCAATAAACCAGTAAGCACCTAAAAGAGTAAGAAATTGAATGTAATGAAACAGTACTGGTGTCAGATAAATATAGGATATTAGAAAAGTATATAAATTCAATGGGATGCAATTCCAAGTCATGAGAGAAAACTATGGAGGCATATAATGTAAGAGCTTTCTGCAAGTTAATGTGAACAAATACTACCAATGACATTGGATTGAAACTAAATTTAAGAAGATATATCTGGCTGGCAGACTTGTAGTGACAGTGCAGAACATAATTTTAGACTGATAAGTAGAATGAAATCTCTGTCTGCCAACTGTCCCTGTGTGGTCTCATTATAAAACACATTATAATGTATTTTCAGTACATGCTACTCCATTATTATGCTATTTTTGCATTGTTTCCCCTTTCAAAACCAAGTTTTGAATTTCCTTTCTAAGGAAGTTTAATTTTTCTTCATTTCACTGCTTCTATATTTTCTTCAGAATATAACGTGTCACTATATATGTGCACCATATTTTTGAGCAGAGAAGTTCCACACACATTTTAACAATATTAGATAAAAATGGGGTGGGGGGGAAAGGAGAATAATTTTTGTATGCACACAGAGGACTTGATACATTAAACTAATGCACAGGGCAATGGTTACATTATCCTGTAGTAGTGACAATACTGTACATGTAAGATGCACAAAACACACAATGTCATGACTCACTTCTCCCAGGGTTCCATCACCACCAGCTACAACAACAGCATTAGTGTTCTCCATGATTTCCATCAAGTCTCTGGCTTGTCCTTCATGCTCTGTCTTCACAATTGCAACTTTAATTCCAGCCAAATGCAAGAGTGGAGCACAGTAACGTTCAAAATGTGCTTTGCCTTTGCTGTTGATAAATGTAAAATAATAAAGTAAAACATACAGATATGGATAAAACTCAGCAATGCAAACGAATACACTACTTTCGTAAACAATCCATGCACGAGAAAAAAAATCATGTGCAATACAAGAATATGAATAAGAGATTAATAAATGGCATAAACCTAAGAGTAAAACATTTATACAGAATGCCATGAAAATATAAATTCTGTACATGTACACAAATCAAAATCAATCTCTATTTCTTTAGGTTTAAAATACTGTATACAAGGTGTCTACACACTATGAATATATGTATTGGCAACCGGTTGGAGAAATGTGACCTCACAAAAAGTTGAAAGGCATGAAGGGGTGGTTTCCTGAGGCAATAAAGAACTGCAGCAGATATTGTTAGTAATTTTAATTATGAAAGCCTTTTCTGTCATGGTCATAAAGAATGCATACTAATGTATATAAAAAACTGATCAAGGAGATCATATTTTACTGACCTGCCCTTAGCTGTTGGATTTAAGAGAACAGTAACATGTCGCTCAGGTTCACCTAATGGTCTTGAGCGCTCACCATAAACCATGGCCTCTTCACAGAAGGCTCGCATCATCTGGCTTTCTCTATAAAATGATAAAAAAAATATATATATATACATGTATATGATAATAATGCAGCTGATATAAATGGAAATCACATGTATATCACAGTTAAATCAAGCTACAGAACAGAACAAAAAAGCAATATAAATAATTTGGGAGTAATAATTACAGAAGACCTTACTTTTTAAGGAGCACAATAAAGTAGTTGTCACAGGTTGGATAACAAGAACCTTTCAAACAAGAGACTCCATACCAATGACGATATATTTTCCAAGAGACTAGTGCTATCTAGGTGGAATATTGTTCCACAATACCAGCCCCATTAAAGTCTGGGGAAAATGGCTGACCTGAAGAATGTGCAAAGATCTTTTTACTGCCAGAATCAACTCAATAAAACATCTAAACATTGTGACCACTTCAAATGTTAAAATCTGTATACCCTAGAGCACAGGTGGGAAAGATACATATAGTAATTACATTTTAGGGGGACTGGTACCAAATCTACACATGGAATTAACTCCACATAAAACCAGGAGGCATGACAGGAAGTTAAATATGGCCCCCGTTGGAAAGCAAACATGTAATTGGTACACAGAACTATTAACATCAAAGACCCCAGATTTTTCAAGACCCTCACTCTACACATAAGGAGGATAACTGGCCAACCTCTCATGGTGTTTACAGGTGAACGCAGAAAACACCTCAAAAGGATACCTGATCAACCAGGCTGTGATTTATACATCAGGCTACAAGCAGACATGTCTAACAGTCTGGTTGACCAATCCAACAACAAGAAGCTTGGTCAGAAGCCAGGCAATGGGGACGTTGATCCTGTGAACCAACGCAAGGTAACTGCAAGGTATGGTTGGGTTAGGGTCCAACAATACACAGGCACTTTGAAAAAAAAACATGATTTCTAATTTTTAAACTTTATCATCATTAGGTTAAGCTGGATATGGTTCTGCTGGTTTAGATCTAATAACATTAAGGGGAATAAGAGACCCAGATACACTGGTCAGATGAATACTTATCTCTGGTTAAGTTTGATTTAGTTAGGTTGAGCTAGGTTGGGAAGTTTAAACACCAGAAATTCGTAGACAAACTATGTTTACAAAATGACCTTTATCTAAGAGGAGGACAAGATGCTTTACCACATTACAACTGGCAGTAACTGGGCACCTGGGAGTTAGCACACTGTTGTAAGTTGCATAAGTGAAGAAAGTAACAAGAGAAAATGCGACATCTACATCAGTTCCTCATAGAAAAGCACCTCAAAGCCACTCACTCATATTTGTTGTTGCCGTAGTTCACACCACCCGCTAATACTGCCGAGAAGAATATGGATTTCTTGGGATTTCTCCTCAAAACACGAGCAAATTTAACAATCCGAGACATCTCGGTGTTGTTGACTTGGGGCCGGGCGCTCCCCGCCGCCCCACGACAGTATAACAATTGATTGATGCAGATTATTAAGCCACTACATGAACGGGCTCACCATAGCCCGTGCTACTTTGAACTTTGTTCCAGGTAACGAATCTTTAACAACAAACAACACTACAAGAGGTGAGACGGGCGTGAGGAACCCGAAGGTAGTGGTGGTGTTGATTTAAGGGCGACGACGAGGGTGGTAGATGTTTGTAGGGTTGCCAGGTCCAAATTGCGAAAAGTAGCGAGCTGACGGTCGAAAAGTAGCGAATTTGTAATAAGAGTAGCCCAATATTTTTTTTTTTTAGTGACTGATACGGATTTCAAAGTAATATATTTTGATATATAGAGTACACTACACGATGTTGTTTTATTATTATTATTTCCGCACACATATCTATATATATATATATATATATATATATATATATATATATATATATATATATATATATATATATATATATATATATATATATGTATGTATGTATGTATGTATGTATGTATGTATGTATGTATGTATGTATGTATGTATGTACAGAGGTGGAGTACCACCTCTGGTGCAATTATAGGGACCCACAGCCTCAAAGAAGGGAACACAGAGCATTCAGAGAAAAACTTGTCATTTAACTCTGAATACGTATGAGTGTTCGCTTCTCCTACCACCTCCTTTATTTATGGTGTACACTTTATTATGCAAGGTTATACAGTTACATATCTGATTTTGTACAAAAAATTAATATTGAGTCAGTCATATTTTATAAAAATGAACAAAGAACATTATTTATATATATATATATATATATATATATATATATATATATATATATATATATATATATATATATATATATATATATATATATATATATATATATATATATGTTGTACCTAGTAGCCAAAACTCAGTACTCGGCCTACTATGCAAGACGCTATTTGCCTAATAAGCCAAGTTTTCATGAATTTATGTATTTTTCTAGTTTTTTCTTTATGAAATGATAAAGTTATTCATTTCACTATGTATGAGTAAATTGCATTGTATTTGAGTTAAAACTAACGTAGATATATGACCGAACCTAATCTAACCTAACCTATCTTAACCGAACCTAAACTAACATAACTAAGTCAATTATTTATATTCTTAATATAACATAATATCAATGATTCAAATAAACTAATTGGAAACATTTTATTGAAAAATAGAAAATCACTTGGCCTATTAGGCAAAACGGCCCTTGCATAGCAAAGAAATAACCATGATGATCTAGCAAAGAAACAACCATGATGGTCTAGCAAAGAAACAACCATGATGATCTAGCAAAGAAACAACCATGATGATCTAGCAAAGAAACAACCATGATGATCTAGCAAAGAAACAACCATGATGATCTAGCAAAGAAACAACCATGATGATCTAGCAAAGAAACAACCATGATGATCTAGCAAAGAAACAACCATGATGATCTAGCAAAGAAACAACCATGATGATCTAGCAAAGAAACAAGCATGATGATCTAGCAAAGAAACAAGCATGATGATCTAGCAAAGAAACAACCATGATGATCTAGTAAAGAAACAACCATGATGATCTAGCAAAGAAACATGACGCAAAGACACACAACCCCTGGAGCACAACCATGCACGAACCGAAGCCCGACTATGCACAACCGGAAGCTAAGTGACACCCCCGGAGCCCGACTATGCACAACCGGAAGCTAAGTGACACCCCCGGAGCCCGACCAGTTAAGTAACCGGAGCCCGACCAGTTATTTAACCGGAGCCCGACCAGTTATTTAACCGGAGCCCGACCAGTTGTGTAACGGAAGCCCGATCAGTTGTGTAACCGGACCCGGACCAGTTGTGTAACCGCAAGCCTAGCAAGTATACATCTCATCTAACCCCCACTAAGCTAAACAAACAGCCCCAGACCCCAACCAAACTCCATTCCTAGCTCTACCAAACAAACCCTTCTTTAGCCCTTCCTAACAACTGCCCCCCCCTTGCCTTTAACAACTAACTTTGGAGCCAAAGCATACAAACAATTGAGCCCTATACAAAAAAGAAACCTGGAACTCTTGCAAAAATACAACAATGAAACCCTTGAAAATACACATGCACTCAGCCATAGCAAAGAAACAACCATGATGATCTAGCAAAGAAACAACCATGATGATCTAGTAAAGAAACAACCATGATGATCTAGCAAAGAAACATGACGCAAAGACACACAACCCCTGGAGCACAACCATGCACGAACCGAAGCCCGACTATGCACAACCGGAAGCTAAGTGACACCCCCGGAGCCCGACCAGTTAAGTAACCGGAGCCCGACCAGTTATTTAACCGGAGCCCGACCAGTTATTTAACCGGAGCCCGACCAGTTGTGTAACGGAAGCCCGATCAGTTGTGTAACCGGACCCGGACCAGTTGTGTAACCGCAAGCCTAGCAAGTATACATCTCATCTAACCCCCACTAAGCTAAACAAACAGCCCCAGACCCCAACCAAACTCCATTCCCAGCTCTACCAAACAAACCCTTCTTTAGCCCTTCCTAACAACTGCCCCCCCCCTTGCCTTTAACAACTAACTTTGGAGCCAAAGCATACAAACAATTGAGCCCTATACAAAAAAGAAACCTGGAACTCTTGCAAAAATACAACAATGAAACCCTTGAAAATACACATGCACTCAGCCATAGCAAAGAAACAACCATGATGATCTAGCAAAGAAACAACCATGATGATCTAGCAAAGAAACAACCATGATGGTCTAGCAAAGAAACATGAGGCAAAGACACACAACCCCTGGAGCACAACCATGCACGAACCGAAGCCCGACTATGCACAACCCGAAGCTAAGTGACACACCCGGAGCCCGACCAGTTAAGTAACCGGAGCCCGACCAGTTATGTAACCGGAGCCCGACCAATTATTTAACCGGAGCCCGACCAGTTGTGTAACGGAAGCCCGATCAGTTGTGTAACCGGACCCGGACCAGTTGTGTAACCGCAAACCTAGCAAGTATACATCTCATCTAACCCCCACCAAGCTAAACAAACAGCCCCAGACCCCAACCAAACTCCATTCCCAGCTCTACCACACAAACCCTTCTTTAGCTCTTCCTAACAACTGCCCCCCCCCTTTGCCTCTAACAACTAACTTTGGAGCCAAAGCATACAAACAATTGAGCCCTATACAAAAAAGAAACCTGGAACTCTTGCAAAAATACAACAATGAAACCCTTGAAAATACACATGCACTCAGCCATAGCAAAGAAACAACCATGATGATCTAGCAAAGAAACAACCATGATGATCTAGCAAAGAAACAACCATGATGGTCTAGCAAAGAAACATGAGGCAAAGACACACAACCCCTGGAGCACAACCATGCACGAACCGAAGCCCGACTATGCACAACCCGAAGCTAAGTGACACACCCGGAGCCCGACCAGTTAAGTAACCGGAGCCCGACCAGTTATGTAACCGGAGCCCGACCAATTATTTAACCGGAGCCCGACCAGTTGTGTAACGGAAGCCCGATCAGTTGTGTAACCGGACCCGGACCAGTTGTGTAACCGCAAGCCTAGCAAGTATACATCTCATCTAACCCCCACCAAGCTAAACAAACAGCCCCAGACCCCAACCAAACTCCATTCCCAGCTCTACCACACAAACCCTTCTTTAGCTCTTCCTAACAACTGCCCCCCCCCCTTTGCCTCAAACAACTAACTTTGGAGCCAAAGCAAACAAACACTTGAGCCCTATACAAAAAAGAAACCTGGAACTCTTGCAAAAATACAACAATGAAACCCTTGAAAATAAACATGCACTCAGCCATAGCAAAGAAACAACCATGATGATCTAGCAAAGAAACAACCATGATGATCTAGCAAAGAAACAACCATGATGATCTAGCAAAGAAACAACCATGATGATCTAGCAAAGAAACAACCATGATGATCTAGCAAAGAAACAACCATGATGGTCTAGCAAAGAAACAACCATGATGGTCTAGCAAAGAAACAACCATGATGGTCTAGCAAAGAAACAACCATGATGATCTAGCAAAGAAACAACCATGATGGTCTAGCAAAGAAACAACCATGATGGTCTAGCAAAGAAACAACCATGATGATCTAGCAAAGAAACAACCATGATGATCTAGCAAAGAAACAACCATGATGATCTAGCAAAGAAACAACCATGATGATCTAGCAAAGAAACAACCATGATGATCTAGCAAAGAAACAACCATGATGATCTAGCAAAGAAACAACCATGATGATCTAGCAAAGAAACAACCATGATGATCTAGCAAAGAAACAACCATGATGATCTAGCAAAGAAACAACCATGATGATCTAGCAAAGAAACAACCATGATGATCTAGCAAAGAAACAACCATGATGATCTAGTAAAGAAACAACCATGATGATCTAGCAAAGAAACATGACGCAAAGACACAACCCCTGGAGCACAACCATGCACGAACCGAAGCCCGACTATGCACAACCGGAAGCTAAGTGACACCCCCGGAGCCCGACCAGTTAAGTAACCGGAGCCCGACCAGTTATTTAACCGGAGCCCGACCAGTTATTTAACCGGAGCCCGACCAGTTGTGTAACGGAAGCCCGATCAGTCGTGTAACCGGACCCGGACCAGTTGTGTAACCACAAGCCTAGCAAGTATACATCTCATCTAACCCCCACCAAGCTAAACAAACAGCCCCAGACCCCAACCAAACTCCATTCCCAGCTCTACCAAACAAACCCTTCTTTAGCTCTTCCTAACAACTGCCCCCCCTTGCCTTTAACAACTAACTTTGGAGCCAAAGCATACAAACAATTGAGCCCTATACAAAAAAGAAACCTGGAACTCTTGCAAAAATACAACAATGAAACCCTTGAAAATACACATGCACTCAGCCATAGCAAAGAAACAACCATGATGATCTAGCAAAGAAACAACCATGATGATCTAGCAAAGAAACAACCATGATGATCTAGCAAAGAAACAACCATGATGATCTAGCAAAGAAACAACCATGATGATCTAGCAAAGAAACAACCATGATGATCTAGCAAAGAAACAACCATGATGGTCTAGCAAAGAAACATGAGGCAAAGACACACAACCCCTGGAGCACAACCATGCACGAACCGAAGCCCGACTATGCACAACCCGAAGCTAAGTGACACACCCGGAGCCCGACCAGTTAAGTAACCGGAGCCCGACCAGTTAT